CCATGGGATTGCGGCAGACAAGCGCGAGACAAAGAGATAGAGAGAGAGATGGTTGTTACGAATGGGGAATCCCCACTGCCCTTCCCCACACAGCAGTCAGTACATGCATGCGCGCACACACACTTTCTCTCTCTTACACACACACACTTACTTTCACGCCCCGGCCACCGGCATGCCCGCCTTACTGACGCCTTGCACCCCCCGCTTCATCGAAGATGCTCCTTTTGATTCCAGAAGCCGACCGGCTGTCCTACAGCCGATATCGTCATCCCTCCCGGCCAAGCACGTCGATGCTGCCTCGCGCATATCCCACCCCGCGACCTTCCACCCTGAGTTAGTCAATTGCCCGCATGTCTCCTAGTACCTGCATTCCTGGATACCAAATACTCGCAAGCTGCAGCATCCGACGTCACCGCCAATCGCTGCCTTTCGCCGAATCTTTTCCCCCAACGGTATCGTTGACGTTGCTGTGTCAAAGCTTGTCATGTCCATGTGCAAGTATTTAAAGTCACGGATACGCAGGGATTGCTGGGTACACTTTGTGTCCCACTAAGACGTGCCATCCTCGTCCCCTCACTCAGTCCGCCAACACCATGAGGCCATCCCTCTTGGTACTTGCGGCCATTGGCGCTCAGGCCTGCCAGCGTGAACGTGCTTTCCACCATCATTCCCACCTGCACGTTAAACGACAGACGTCTTTTCCCCCCACCTTGACCCCACATGAGGAGATCTTGCTCAATTCTTTCGACTCCCTCTCCATATCTGAATGGTCATACTACTATAGTTCGTGTTGCAAGCCTCTCCCGCAACCACAGCACTGCTAACTCTTCGCAGCTCATGGCGCCCACTTGGCTGGCCAGAACAAAACCATGGGTAAGCAGTCACCACCCTTGCCAGTGTCCTCAACAAAACAAAGCTAATTCATTTTCAAAGCACAATGGACGGCAGATAGATGGTCCGACTATGGTTTCACTTCACGCTTGGACGAATATTGTAGGCACAGCCTCGACCCAAACCTTGCAACGAGACATGAGTTGACAGTTTTCCAGACGTATTCTTGAACTATCCCGTCTCAAACTCCTTGAAGCTCACCTACAATAATGGGAGCACATACACTCCTAGTCTAAAAGAGGCTATACTTGAAGAGGACCCAACTACCAGCTATCCCAACAGTGTGCCCGTATTCCACGGCTACTCCTTTACCGGCAATGCGTCTGCAGAATACGTCTACGTTGGTAGAGGCCAGCAAGTCGACTTCGATCGTCTGATTGAGCTTGGTGTCGAACTCGAGGGCAAGATTGCCTTGGCCAAGTATGGTGGCCCTTTTCGAGGTCTCAAGGTCAAGAATGCTCAGGACCACGGCATGATTGGAGCCGTCATCTTCACTGATCCTGGTGACGATGGCAACATGACCGAGTAAATTACATGTCTAGCTTGTTAATGTTCTGTTGTGCTAACAGTTCCTAGGGCAAAAGGCGTCGCTCCTTACCCTCATGGCGGTGCTAGAAACCCTACCACCGTCCAGCGTGGATCAGTTCAATTCTTAAGTACATACCCAGGAGATCCAACCACGCCTGGCTACGTCTCCAAGCCAGACTCGCCGCGCTCTGATCGCAAAAACATTCTGCCCCAAATTCCCAGTCTACCCATCTCCTGGATTGAGGCACAGCCTCTGCTACTGGCTCTCAACGGACACGGTACAAATGGTACTGAAGTGAACAGGACACGCTGGGTTGGCGCTATTCCAGGTGTAGAATACTACACCGGTGAGGGATCGGGCGCTACACTTTCCATGTCCAATGTTATGAATGACACATATGGTACAATCTGGAATGTCGTTGGTATCATCAATGGAACCAATGAAGACGAAGTAGTCATTGTTGGGAACCACAGAGATGCTTGGATTGTTGGTGGGGCAGCTGACCCCAACTCTGGATCCGCTGTTCTTGTCGAGCTCGCCAAGGCATTTGGCGCACTCTCAGAGACTGGGTGGAAGCCATTACGTACCATCGTACTCTGCAGCTGGGATGCCGAAGAATATGGTCTTGTTGGAAGGTATGCATGCCACATGTGACTGTTCGTGTCTTCAACTTACATGTCCAGCACCGAATGGATGGAAGAATACATTCCATGGCTCAAGAACGCCGCAGTCTCCTACCTTAATATCGATGTAGCAGTTTCCGGCCCGGTAAGCAACAATTTCACAATGCATTCGTAAGCCATACTAACATGTTTGGCCAATTCTCAGATCCCCGATGTTGCGGCAACTCCTGACCTCCATGCAATTGCTACTTCTTTGATGAAGAAGGTCGTATATCCATACCGCAACGAGACCAGCCTTACCATGTACGACGTATGGACGCACGAATCCGGCGAGGTTGGCGTGCTCGGGAGTGGAAGTGATTACACTGCCTTCCTCCACCGTGGTATTGCATCCATCGACATGGGAGCTGGTCCCGGACCAAATGACCCCGTCTACCCTTACCACTCCAACTACGACTCTTATCACTGGATGGCCACCTTTGGCGACCCAGGCTTTGTTACACACAAGGCCATGGGTCAGTTCCTAACCCTTCTACTTTACCATATGGTCTCTGATCCCGTGGTGCCTCTGGAGCCAGCCGACTACGTCTCTGAGCTCAATACCTACCTTGGTTCTCTGAAGGAGGATATCAGTGCAAGTAACTTCACAATTGACCTCAACAATCTGACGAATGCCATCTCGACGTTTGAGAATTCGGCCAAGGAATTTGTCCTTCTTCGGGATCATGCAGTTGCCGCCAATGATAGTGCACTTATCACCGTTCAGAATCACAAAGCTCGAGATTTCTCTCGTGCGTTCACTAGCCAGGGTGGCTTGCCTACCCGGGAGTTCTATCAACACACTATCTTTGCTCCCGGTCGAGATACGGGATATGCTCCCGTGACGTTTCCTGGTATCACAGAGAGTATCACCTTTGATCAAGACGCCGACCTAGCGCAGGAGTGGGTTCAAAAGACCAGCGACGCAATCTTACTTGCTGCCCGTATTCTAAAAACATAGGATAATCTTGCATAGATGAAGAAATAGAAACTAGTTTTTTATCTACCATACACTGCTTTTACTGTATGTTACTGTAATGCCTATATCCTGCCAGGGATGCTCGAGAGAGCACTGCATTACACTGTGCATTCTGCTTAGAGCGCTGTCAGCCTATTCTGGCCTGAGTAGATCAGCCCTGATGCCGCTAATTTTTGACGTTTGCACCGGGCTCACTAGCCATCCCTGTCATGAAATTCGCGTTTCCAGACGGTAGTTTAGCTGTTCTACGATGATCCACCCGGCAGCTGGTAGAACATCGGGACACGGCTTCGTCGGCGGACACCAACCCTGATGTGGTTATTTGGTATAAGTGGCAAGTGGTGGCGTTAAGCGTGACACGCCTTGTCAGGAGAAGATCCACAGTACCATCACACTACCGGCCGGCATATGTTGTTCAATGCTACTCGTTGATATACGCAAAGAACACGACGTTCGAGGTATATATCATGCAGTGGCAGTGAACCTCATACAAGATTGTCCAGAACCATCACGCTGCCCTCCTAATTCGGTAGCCCCATCATTGAAAACGGTATTAACACAAGGCAATTTGCCTCTTGAGAATTCGGAGGAATAAGGTTTGCGCCGATCAATCTAGTGTCGTGGAGATGCCGCTTCATGCTAAGAAGACGCTACATCCCCACCTCGCGTTTATTCGATACGCTCATTAGAACGCTCTGAAGAAGAGGTTCATCAAAGTATTCGCACCTTCGCTTGGGGCATATTTTTTTTTGCTGTACTATAAGAGGTTTGGCGAATTGTTTTACAAATACATAGTTTTATTCGTTGCTTCCCCGCACGCGAGTGGCCAAAGAAAGACTTGCTCGCCACCAGAACCTGGCAGACTGACTTTTGGTTCATCCATCAATCAGAGCCGCGCGTAATGTCTGATTCAGGGTCGGAGCATTTGTACTTGGACTTACCAAAATATCCCTGGCATTGTTGTACAGAGAGGTCTTCCCATCGCCAGGCGCTCAACTGGGATCCTTGGTGCTCTTGGGCTGGATCACCATCAACACTTTGATTCTGATCTTCCTCACAATCTTCAATTGTAACTCTGTAAACGCATTCTGGGACCGCGATATCAAGAACGCCAAGTGCACGGATATCAATGCCATCGCATACGCGAACAGTGCATCGGCGATTGCTCAGGATGTTGCACTGCTGATTTTTCCTTTGGCATGCAGTCGGACGCTGAATATGACGAGATGGCGCAAAATAATGGTGGCATCATGTTCGCTATTGGAACACTGTACGTATTTCCCATTGTTTCATTCCGGGACAAGTGGGCAAACTAACAAAAACAAAAGTGGGTGCATAGCCACCATAGTCCGTCTACACACAATCATGGCCTTCAAGACTACAATCGACCCCACTTGGAACTACGTTCCCATCACCATATGAACAGTAATCGAGCTTACATGCTGTTTCGCTTGCCTCTCCCTTCCCGCAATCCGCATGTTGCTTGGGCGTATCCTGCCCGACGGTTTCTTCTCATCAACCACCTCGCGATACCGTTCGTATGGATCCAACGCCCCGGTCTGGGGCGTTGGTATTGTAAAACCCAACTCTATACCGAATGGCAGATGATTTCGAAGCTGGAAGCAGATCTCGTCGGGCAATGAGCATGATGCGGGAAAGTCGAGCGAAACGGATGTGTTAAGTAGGGCAGCGACAGATGCGCGTAGTGAAAAGACTCGTGGAGCGGAATCACGCGTCGAAGAAGCAAGGATTTCAGATGTCGAGGAAGAAATACTGCCAACCCCATGGGGCCATTTGTAGACAGGTAGTATGAAACTACTAAACAACAATAACTTCGCTTTTGCTCCTAGGAGATGACTGAACAATACTCTGTTATATTAATGCTGTAAAACCTATTTTATGACATGAACCATTTTCCCTGCGTAATAGCGTAAACACCTTAGTTTGTCTTCTTCAGTTTAAATCCCTCCCAAGTAAACTTCGCGACAAGAATGAAGGCCGCGCATGCAAATAATAAGCAACTTCCAAAGATCCACAGGTTTTCATAGCCCTTGTGCTTCTGAATTTGGCCGCCAATAGGTGTACCAATCAATATACCAATCGCACAGAAGAAGAAAGCCTGGCCCAGGCGTGTACCGATCTTGTGTTTAGTATTGCCGCTGATGTAGATGATAATCGTCGAAGGCAATGACACAAAGGTTCCGGAAAAGAAACCATAGAACGCCATGAGGACGATAATGCCGGTCGAGGTTGTGACGGTCAAGAAGAGTATGCAGAGAATCGCAGACATGAGAACGCATGGTATGATGACATTGAACGGGCCAATCTTATCCGACAGGAGATTCGGCAGAATACCTAAGATATTGTGTCAGCAAAAAACGATGCAAAGTGTTGGAGGAAAGGTTACTAACGGCCAAAGAGCGAAGTGCTGTTCAAAATGGCGATGAGATAAAACCCAAGATCCTCATTAGTAATCTTTTGCGAAATTGCAAAGATTTGGCCAAAAACCAAGGGTGCATTGAGTCCGGCGAAACCCAACAGGAAGCCAAAGGTTATAAATGAGTACGGGGGATTCAAAAACGCCCTGAGATCGAATAGAGTGCGTGTTTGAGGAGGAAGAACGCGGATGCGCAACACGATGTTTGGGATAATCAGCGTGCCTAGCATCATGAAGCCCAGCACGCGAGTGGCCCATCCGAATCCGATCCGTGGAAGAAGCCTGTGCAAGACGATTGGGTAGATGACGCCTCCCAGGGAGGAGCCTGAAGCCGCTATGCCAATGGCCGCCCCGATCCTGGTGGTGAAGTAGGTGGAAAGGATAGCGACACTGGGAACGTAGACCAAACCTGCGCCAATGCCGACGCAGAAAGCTTGAGATAGCAGGACTTGCCAGTACTGATGGCAAAGTGACAGCATCATGTGGCCAAAGACAATCATAAAGGATCCGACGAGCAAAAGGGCGCGGAGGTATCCGGCATCGTAGATGGGTCCGGCTAGGGTGCCTGTTACCAGCATAAGGTAGGCTTGAACAGATCCAATCCAGGCGATGTCGGATGAACTTGAACTCTTGAGCATATTTGTTTCGTAGTATGCCTGGTATGATCCAAATGTATTGGTGATACCCCTGATCTGGAGTTAGCAAAGTGGTTTCTTGGTCCAAGTGCAAAGGGTCGTCTCATACCATGCATTGAATGTGAGGAAGAATCCACCAAGAACCTGCAACCAAGCCAAAGTACCGCCGTTGGGTGGCGGAGGGACGGCATTCGGATTAGGCTGCTCTGGTTGCGCAGCCTCCAGCGCCGCTCCGCCGTCATCGGTTGCGGTTATGCCGTCGCCAGGAGGCTGCTCCTTCGCTGAAGGGTCAATAGCATCCTGCACCGTATTTGAAGAAGAGGATGAGGAGGGTGGCAGATGACTTTGTTTCTCGTCAGATGACATTGCAGCATGTGTTGATGCCATGTTTGGTGTGTTGTGAAGACTATCCAACGTTAAGTCAGTTTTCACGGCTCAAGGTGTTGCAAAAACAAGAAGCTCACTTCTCTGTACGGACCAACTCCCAGAACAAAAGCAAAGGCTGAGCGGTATGCTATTAGTGTGAAGATTACGGCAGGGGAGCTGAATGTAGATGTAGGAAAATTTAAAGTAGATCTGCAAGGGGGTCTATTGTGGGGTATACAGATTGGTAGAGGGATTCAGATCGAAGGAGGGTATATATATTAAATGGAAATATGGTTATTCGCTTTTACCCATGGAGATTGCGTGCACTCATCCGTTCGGATCCGGCTCCTTTGTTATTGTAACTACAACTCCACATATCAGAGTTTACCGAGCGCAGTAGCTTTTGAATAGGGGAGTGTGAGTGGAACGTGTCGGGGCCGAAGTGATATCTCCGATTCTCGTATGGCGGTTACTGGTGGGGATTACAAGAAACTCACCATGTTCGCCCGTCACCACCTAGTCCTCCGAGATCCGATGGCCGATGGCCGAAACACATAATTTATCTCCGAGATGCAGAGTTTATGCCTATGACGATTACTTGTCACACAGAGGGAAATCTATTATAAACTCAGCTACAGAAATCGGCTGACGGTTTGGGAATACTGGGTGCTTTATTTTGCAACAAGTTCCCTATGTCGGGCACACTGGTGTTTCCTCTCATACACATACCCTACTCGGGTTTCCTACCAAAGATACAAACTTGGATTGACGAAATTCGTAAACTCTTCGTACACAATACGCTTCGGGATCTTTAAAAGAGATAGAATACTTGATGGCATAATATATATTGTCCTGGTATCCTCTCTCTTCTGATGTGTTCTTACTACTGTGTCCTCTGCCATAAAGCCAAATGCAAAAAGAGTAAACATCCATGATTTGGTTATAGTACCTAATGAAGGTGTGCCTAATAGGCGAATCCCGGTTGAGAAATGTAGACTACATATTTATGAGAGTATTACTAAACTACCTTTTAAGGTTTAAGAGCAGAGTTTCGCTGATGTAAATGCTTACCTATATCCTTTTACTCTGACTGTAACATTTACTTTTTTAAAACCCATTCCGCCAAGTTAGGGTGTGGCCTGCTATTTTTTCTAGATTAGTTAATCTGGTGCGCTATGTAGCAGATAGATATACAAAAAGTCAACTCGTAAATAGAAGGGGAAGGGGAGAGTGCGTAAAAACCTGGAACGAGACCAAAACACCTAGGAAGTAATCCAAGCCACTGCTATGAGTAGACACGAAAGATGGAAGATGTTAAGGTTTGGGGATGCTCACTCCTCAAACTACTCACTCTTCAACAGTTTAACCGCTAACATTGATTCTTCCAAACAAAATGCAACCGAAAAATCGATTGAATTCGTTAATATGGGACCTTAGGATAAGTTTGAACAAAGTAAATTCTATTGCGGTCGACGGACGAATCGATCTACAGAATCGGATCAATGGATCCATGAGGCTACTATATGCACGCAATCCAAGCCTAACTCCATCCGGTGATCCAACCCGTTCTTCAGCTAATCTAAACTTACTCTCATCTGATTGAATCCGACTCATAAACAAGACAATGCAAGGAACAAAACAACCAGTCTGATACACATCGGACCAATCTCTCACACTGCCGACACCAAGTTCTACACACCAGCTCCCCCGCTCAAATCTTCCGGCGCTTCAGAAGCAGCGAATTGCTCGGATTCGGCACAACCTGCCTATCCACCTGAATCGGCTCGTACCGCTCCTTGCGCCCATCCGGCATCACAATATCATAATCCATAATCATCCTAGCCAGAACCGTCTTAATCTCATTGGCTGCAAAGAAGCGGCCCGGGCACGCATGCTTGCCGTATCCAAACAGCATATCGCGCTCATTTGCAGAGACAAACTGCGAGCGTGCTAGCTCGCCCGTGCTGGAGTTTTCACGCATCTTGTAGTAGCGGAAGCCGTCGAATTCGTCGGGGTTGGTGAAAAGGGTCGAGTCGAAGCTGACGGCGTCGGAGGGTACTTCGATCATCACGCCGGCGGGGATGTGTTGGCCGTTGGAGAGCACAAAGGGCTTGTGAACGTAGCGAGCAAAGGAAGCTGGTGGGTGGGGGAAGGCTGTTAGTTTTTCTTTGTTTTGTTTTTTGCTAAATTGCTACTAAGTATTCCTGGGCAAAGGAAGAAAAACTTACTGATGCTAAAAGGGTACCAGCGGCCAACTTCTTTGATAAAAGAGTCCAGCTTGACTAGTTGCTGAAGAGCACGTGGTGTGAGGCTCCCGTTATTGTCTTCCAGGACGGTCTGAATCTCCTCACGAAGTGGCTTGATGTACTCTGGCATTGCCGCGAGACTGAATAGACTGTTGGTGGTTGTCATAGCGGTAGTGTGGATAGATGCGACAGTAAGAGTAAGCTGCTGCCTTATCAGCGACGGAAGATCCATGCTTGATTTACAGCGATCCATCATCCACTGCAACATATCGTCAGACTTGTTGTTTGGGTCTTGTCTCTGGTTGATGATAGGCTCAAAGAACTTGGTAGCCCGTTTGAATCTATCCTGAAGCTGCTGGACCTCGGGGAGGCGAGTTGCTTTGAATGGGCGAAGCCATCTACTGCAACTCTTGACTGCGAAAGCGGCAGTAGTTGTTTCGTTTGTGAAATTGACTGCAATGTCAACGTATTCAGGGTCGCGGCAATATTCTGGTCCGACGAATAGGCGGCCAGATGCCTGAGCTATAATGTTTGTTACATTTTCGTATATCACCAGTTTAGTCCAGTCCTCGCAAGCAGGCAAGAACCGTTGCATGGAGTTATCGATCTCGTTAGTAATATGCTCGCTGAGACGTTCTGTCTTTTAGGTAAGCGGCAAGTCTGATGCAGTAGTGCACTCTCATACTTAATGAAGGTGTAAGATCAGCCTTTATACTGTGCACCAAAATCGGGTAGTTGGTTTCGTGTTTGGTATAGTGACCTTCGAACATCTATGTAATCTCAGCATCTGATCTAGCCATTGAAAGATGACAGATTCATACTTTGTTAACAGCTCCAGGAAGATCCACAACATCGTCAGGGATTTTGTTCAGTTCGGGTAAAAACTTGGGTGGTATGACCACAAATTGCATGTCATCATCTGCTGCCATGCGGTAAACAGATTTCGTGAACTACCACCTTCTGAGTTGTCATCTATGCAGACGAGAGGTCGCATTTACCTGTTTGTAGCCTTTGCGATACAGGTCTTTGCAATACTTTAGGAAATAGGCTCGTTGCTTGTCATTGTTTGTGGCCAGGCCGAACAATGGCAATTTTGATAACTTGAATTGCAGGCTGAGCTTTGGGAGAAACGTAAGAAATGCAATGACCAGAGCAAATACTGTGGTAACTTGCGCGATGTGCGCCGAGTCTGAGGAGATTTGACTATCCATCTTGAAGGAGGTGAAATTGTATCGAAGGAGAAAAGTACTAATACAGTAATCACCGTACTTATAGTACATTTTTCCAAGAAAAAATCATTCACTGGGTCTACCGGGCTCCGGAGATGTCGGAATTTACGGCAGAAATCGGTTTGCGGTTCCATTGGTTGTTGTCGTCGTACGAGGTTGTTCGTTATATTAGGATAACCGATACAGTAGACAGGCATGCGTCCTACAAACGTGCTGGACCCTGTCCATACAGAATCCATAGACTTCCATAATAACTCAAAGGCAAGGATCAAGACTTCCGCGTTCTCATCGGCTCACACCATGCAAGCTCGAAATCGGTCGGTGAAACAGGAGAACCAAGACCAAGCGGTGTTGTCGACAAAAACGAGCCATTTTTACTATAAAATATTAACGCTACTATGATGCTACACCTACTCATGACAAGATTAGATAAGTATATTAACTCTTTATGTGCTAGCTGTAATAATAATTATACAGTAAGAATAGAGTACGCGTAGGCTTCACGCAGTCGGAGCTCGGCAGTTTTATCTCCGAATTTATCGTTGACGAAGAGGTAGGTGACTGGAACTTTTCACCTCCGATACACTAACACCGGGGCGACCCGCTTTAATATATACATATATATATATGTGTGTGTGAGATACCTGGACATAGATCATTTTCACAAGGTTTCACGTACAATAGGGGTCTGCAGTACTAGTATATTGTCACCGTAGTGACCACGGGAGTAGAGCTGAACTCCTACCTCTCTATTCTTTATTCTTTATCATGACTATTATGGATGAAAAGACCTTAGAATGAGTTTACATTGACACATGTTACAAAAGAAGGAAGACAAAGGAAGTAAAGCTAACACACGACGTCTCTTACTTTATACTCTTGCCTTGCGTTCTTCCGTATGAGTAAGGTTTCGCGACTGGGTGACGTGAGGTGGACATGTGATACAATCAAGTGTTTTATTCACAAGTGCCAGCACCTTACAGTAACTTTCCGTCTTTACTATCCTTTCTAATCTTTTAATATCACATCACGAGTACTTTCTAGCAATTTAACAGAAAGACGATAGCAGAATAGGAATATAATCTTTATATATTTTAGAATACGTATAGTACCACTACTCTATCTACACTGGATAGGCAGGTGTTTGGATATCATGCAATTATAGACAAGAAAAATGCAATGCCGCGCTCGCTAAAATGATCAAAGAGACTGTTTACAAGACAAGGAAAACAAGAGATGAATATCGGAAAGAATGCTTGGTTGGAATAGATTCAAGCATCATGCTTTTGGTTCTGTGCTGACTGGAGCATAACCAGCAGGAGTGACGGCCAGGTAGTCTTGATGAACGACTGGATCTGGGCTTAGCACATGAGGGGTCGTATCCGGCGTGCTGTGGATTGATTCCATAGCGATGCTATGCTGAGAGGCATTATAGCCTGAGCTATAAGCAGTGAGAGGCTTCAAATCCTCTGGATGCAGGCTCCATCGTGAGGCATTGTTCACTTCACTGATCCCCACGGCAGGAGCGTCGTGCGGTACATTTTTATACACCGCGCCCGTCTCATGTACGGTTGTGTGTGTATTGTGGTCGTGATCGTGGCCGTGGCCATGTTCGTGTTCATCGACTTCGAGTGCGTATGGCTTCCCGCTCTTTTTGAGCTGTTTGTTACACCACCAGCAGCTTAGCTTGTCACAAACAAGGATGAGGAAGAGAAGCACCACGCAGACTGGTAGAAGAGCGGGCGATTCAATGGCGGCGTAGATCTTGGCGTCGTTGGCCATGAGCGCCAACATTGCCGCGCCGACACCAAAGGCACTCATGCGCGAGATGACGGATGTGTAGTCGAAGAGGTCAGCCTTGTGGCGGCGGATGAGGAATAGGAAGACGACCAGGCACAGGATGAGGATGCAGAAGGAAGTCCAAAAGTACAGGTAGACAAGTTTCCAAGCATGGAGGCCTACCTCGAGTGGGCTGTGCTTTTCGAGTTTATCCACGGGGAGCTTCATACCAAGGCCGGTGTACATGCCGTTGCTGATGGCATATGACAGGTCTTTGAAAGCACCTGGCCAGTTACTGTACTTGTTCTCGTCACCGAATGTGTAGCCATTGGAATTATCAGGCGAGCAGATACTCGTCGTGTTTCCGATTTTCCAGATGGCATTCCGCGCTTCGTAAAAGAAGCTTCTCGTCTCGAGTTTGCCATCGAGTTCGTAGTAGTCAAGCAAGTCCATAAGCTTGTCTTGGAGCTTTTCGCCGTCGAGATTCTCAAGCTGGCAGTACTGGATAATTTTATCTGAGGCCTTGTTGGTGTTGCTGATAATGTAGCGAGCGAGGGCAAGCTGCTGCGACCCCTCAACTACACCGACGATTGCAATCTGAAGCGGGAAATGCAAAAGACTCCAAATTTGCTGCCGGATGGTTCCGTAGTGGCCATGGGGGAAGTTGTCAAAGTACCTGGTACGAGTGTTTAGTTTGGGGGTTTATGCATTGTGTTTCAGGATACTCACAGGGCCCAGACTAGCACCAGAATAACAATAATGCACATGATGAGAAAGCATCCCTCGACATCAAGGCCATGCTTTCCCATGATTCTGGACACGGTCTTTGTAACACCAATGGCGCCCTCGCCAATAACGATGATGGTAAGCAAGCTCATTCGCTCCATGAGATGCGTCTTCTTGAAGCTGAGCATGCGCCAGAAACACGAGATGCCAATGACTAGGACGGCCTCCAAAACCATGACGACATACCAAACAACGTAGATGTGTCGCCGGTTCTGATTGCCCTCGCGAAAAACAGGCGTCATGGCAACAAAGGCACCCATGCTGACTGCATAGATGGCAAACATGAGCATCAGAGGCAGGTAGATTTTAGAATACTTTGCCTTCCATGTGAAGAAGAGGACGACGAGATATTGAACTGCCAAAAGACCACGGGTTATAACGAGCGTGTAGCACATGATGCGAAAGTTCTGTGGCCAAAAGTCAATAAATGTGCATTGGTATGTCAAAAGGGCGGCAGACTGACCGTGTTGTTGCGCGGGGCTTTCTGATTGGCAGGATTAAACTGGCTGCCAGCCAATGCCAAACCAACAAAGGCAATAAACTGGATCGTCTTGCATATACGTTCATACAGCGAGTCTCGCGCAAAACGCACATCGTGCAGCGTAATTTGAAACCAACATGACCACAGAATTCCGAAGAAGCCAATGTATCCCAAGAGGTAGTCCAAGTCTGTGATGGAGTGGTAGGCGGTGAAAGTTGCCAAATTGGCGACAAAGAACAAGTCGAAGAAGAGTTCGACGCTGTTGGCCTCGTGTCGCTGGGAGAAGACGAGGTTTTCATGGTCAGCACCGACAAGCGGGCTTTCGATAAAGGGCGTGGTCTTGTGTAGCCTCCTCAGATGCTTTTCAGTGTCGACATCGCGTTTGTGACCATGGAAACTCCAACCCATGTTGGGAGCCTAGGTAGGAGAGTGGGGGTAAATAGAGGGAGGGACGAGGCCCACGGTACGAATGGCGTGCTCGGTGCAAAAGGCGAGGAATGGAGGCGTGGAGTAGGTAGAAAGAGCAGACTATGTATGGAACAAGAGAAAGTCGGTGATGGGACAAACCGAAACTCTAATACCAACGTCCGTCGGACTCGCCAGGGCGCCGTGCCACGATTCTTATGTGAATCTTGCCCGTTTCCACGATTACTCCACACGACAGCAATGACCCCTCATGCAGACAGGTAGCGCAAGTCCTATCTTAGGACATGGCCCTAGAATCAGCACTACGGCAGTGGGCCTTTTTTTTTAACCCTCCAGCTCAGCGGGAAGTATGCTAGGGGCAGTGCATGGTGGCCAGCCGCACGGCCGTGCTGAGATGGGAGCCCCTACCCGCTCGTATGCAGAGACGCAAGCCACCCAAGGCCGAGAGATTGGGCAAGGGAAGCCTCCTCACTTGTCATCGCCAAGCGGGAGGCCGTGGGACCGGAGAGCCGTGGGAGAGGACAGGAACAAGGGCGGCAGGCCAATGGGCGGTGCATGTGGGTGAGGCTTGGCCAGCTAGCGTGCTGCCGTGTCGAATGCCGTCGGTTTTGATTGTGCGTGTGGTTTCGAGGTTCAGCAGAGTGAGAGTCAGCTCCGCCGACTAGCCAAGGCAGGTCGGGCGGAGCGCCGCCCGCTGCCCTTCTTCTGTTCTGCGCCTGCGTCCACCACCGGACTAAAACCAAAGGCCTCATGCAGCGCAGCCCCCATGGCGTTGCGCTAGAGCTGTGGTGACTCTGCCCGCCTGTCTACTTAGACACGTCCTGTGCAGTACATACAGGTCGTGTCCATGCTGTCCATCCGCCATGCGCCCAAAAATATGTGAGTGTACGCTGGCACGCCGACTAGCCCGCTTGCTCTCTTCCAGCTCTGCAAGGCCAATTTAGCACGTTCACTCCCCCAGGTCACTCGCAATTACTTATTTGCCTACCCCCTGTACACGTGCCTGTACGTCCTTATTTAGGACGTCCACTATGTGCTGACCAACACTGTCGCCATCGATCGGCCTCATCCAGACGTCCTTGTCTGCTTTCCCGTGTCCGCCCTCTCCCGATTACTACACACACATGCAAACTAATCACTGACTTCCATGATTACTTGTGGCTGTATCGTTGCCAGCCAGACACTTGTTGGCCCCTGAGTCGTGGGCGCATGGTGGAACAGCCTCATGAAAGCTTCTTTCAGTCCTTGCCCACTAGTGCCCGCCTGCTATCCAACCACGCATCTACCCTGCGAAGTCTCCATCTCTGCAATACTACGTCCACCTTTGCTCGGCATCTTTCTCATTGCGATCTTCTTACAAACACCCGTTGCACCGAAATCACCACAGTCTTGGCTCCATCCCTCGGGCCACTTGGCCGTTGCTCGCGCACGTGATTGCCATCTCCCTCGTCTTCGACACAACTTTCTACCTCACAACAAGCATCCACACGTACCATGTACACCTTCATTCTCACTCGTGATACTCGATCCGCTAGCCGGTCAAGGCATCCGTCCCTTCTATTTCTTCTAAAACAGCCCGGACAACGCCGCACACCCCCAGTGTCTGGTTTAAGCACTGCTCAAGCAGTGCCAAATTGCTATGTTACATATGGTTCCCATGACTCGTTCACTTTCGTAACAGGCCCGTGCCCTCGTCCGCCTCCTCACCACCACCTTCCTCTTCATCTTCGTCGTTGTCCTCGTCAGACCATCCTTCGGCTTCCAGCCCTTCACCCCGGATGCCAAAACTCAGCACGAAACCGACGAGTGCAATGCCAGCGAAGATGCCAAACGGCAAAACTTCTCCTTTGGGCCTCAACTTAGTCGCAGCCGTAAACAGCGAGCCCGAAACAAATGGTCCTGCCGCCCGTCCGGCAGCAGAGAGCGTCTGCGCAAGGCCGTTGAGCGTCCCGAGAACGTTGTGGTTAGGCGCCGAATTCGTAATCTGCGTCTGGTCAACATATGCTACAACGGGTTAGAGTCGCATCAGAGTAACCAACTCACCATGAGAAGAGCAGCTGTCAAGCCGCCGACACCTGCGACCGTCTTGATGACTAATACCACCCCAAGCTCAAACCACAACCATCCCGCGCCCGAGCCAATACCTTTGTATGCGTTGCTGTCTTTATAACCCACCCACGGCATCAGTGCAAACGCTGCAATGAACAGACCCAAGCTAACCCTGTATGCCATTTTGTTGCCTAGCTTGCCTCGTAATCGTCCAAATATGCCCACTTGAAATAGTATCGTGATGGCTCCTGCAAACGACAGCGACAAGCCAACAGCCTCGGGCTTCAAGCCACGCCCCGTCGGCGGTTGCTCCTCGGCAAAAATAGGATACAATGAATTATAAGAAATGTTCGCTAGTTGAAAGATGAAGTATGTCACCAGCAGCAGCACTGTGTCGCGGTTCAAAACCTCCTTTCGCCTAAGCTCTTCGCTGTTGGCGTGCGGGAATAGTGCAGGCGCGGATTCGCCAGACGTGTCCGACACGTCTTCGTCGTCGTCTTCGATATGGTCTTCATCCTCGTCTTCGCCCATACTGCGTAAATGCGGAGAGTCGCGGTCCTTTTGCTGGCCAAGCAGGCGCCGTACATAAGTCGGTCGACTCGAGCTTGTGAATTGCCATATCCAAGAAAACAAATTGCCCAGTCTCTTTCCTAGAGGAGGGAGGTTCTTGACTTCCTCTAGGCTCTCTTCCAGAAAGATGATGCACACCACCAAATCAACAGCTAGAACAAGGGCTGAAAAGAGATTTGGTAGCAAATATGGATACGGATTGGCATTGCTGTGTGAGAAGGGGTTCTTGTAGAGAACCAACAAGCCTCCGACAATGGGACCTGTGATACCGCCAATGCCGTAGACGACAGGCAGGTAGGTGAAGGCACGCGACTGATTGCTCCGGTCCGTGATCTCGCCCAGACATGTCGACACGACGCCAGAGTTGCCATTGACGAAGCCCATGAGTGCCTGTACGACTATAGCATGCCACAGCCTTGTGCAGAAGCCGAATAAAAGGAAACAGCACAAGGTCATGAAGGTGCCCATGATAATGACGGGCTTGCGCCCAATCTTGTCCGATAGCCAGCCCCAAAAGAAGTTTGTGGTAAATTGGGCCAGAGCAAACGATGAGGCGATGAGGCCCACGTACAGACCTCCCTGGCCCTGCTTGACTTCGGGGAACGAGGCCGTCATCTCTGGAAGATATGGACTGATTGAGTTGAGGGCAGTCTGCTCGGCAAGCGCTATGACGGCCAACACAATAAGCTGCCTGGTCGGCAGGGGCGACTCGTGGTTGCTGTGGCCGTCTTGCGAGTCGCGGCCATGGCGGCGAGACGGCGATGTTGAAGGTGGTCGGCCGCGGGTCCTGGGGGGAACTGTGGGAAAAGTCTCGTAGTGGAGCGTGGACCGTCGCGCCTCAATGGCTGGCCGCCTTGACGAGGGCATGGCTGGCGGTGCGTGGGCAGGTGGATGCTACCTCGTGAAGGCAGAGAAGGTGCAGCAAGCCTTGACATGCATCGAGTCTCGAACAGGGATGCGAAGGATGGTGCAAGGGTTCATGCCGACATGACGCGCAGCAAAGTAGAGAGTATTAGAGAGAGAGACAGGGAGAGGGAGAGAGTATGAGGGAGTAGGGGAGCGTGAGTGAAGTGCGTCATCGGTCGCAGGAACATGTCCGTGTGCTTGGCGCACCAACAGCCGCCGCTTGCCGCCACACCTCTCCTCTTCCCCAGCCTCCTAACCCACATTCCTCTTGTACCTCGTATCGGCCGACTGCATGTACTTATGTGTCCGACAAGCGCAACCACTCGCCACTCGGCTTCCACATGGATCCTCCTCGGCTGGCCTTGCATGAACCTGCGTTCCAACGACTGCCATCTCACAATATATTTTAATTTCCCCGCGGCTTGGTCAGCTGCACAACTCATCAGCAGATGCTTTGTCCATGGCTGAAAAAAAAAACATTTTCCCCAAGTCGACTATGTCAACAAGATGATTATTCCGAGTGTTGAAACCATTCGCAGCACAGTCACTAATGATTCAGCTAATCACTTTGCCACCACTTGGACCCAAGTTAACAGTTCGGCCAAATGCACCTTGTAGCGTAGTGATCACCTACTTGAGGACACCTTCTTTCGGCAAAGGCTTGGTGGCCTTGTGAGCACATTAATAAAGTAGCATGCCTGTCTAGAGTAAATGAGCACATTAGAGGAAAAAAAAGTGGAGTTGCATAGTCCTCCAAAACTATAAAGATGCCCGGTGAGTATGCAACTTTTCAAACCAAGCACGAAAACAGTCAGTGGCGAGGCATATGCGAGAGTAGCTTGATACCGATTATTCGAAAAGAGAGAAAGAAAAGAAAAAGGGAATGTACTACTACCAGAAGGCCTACCTCGCTGCTGCAGCTGCATGCACCCTCATCTCCCCGTGCCTTACCTCTCCCGTTCAACCACCCATCACAAACACATCAGCACTTCCACTACACTATGGCCTCGTCATCTTCCCCCACTACCAAGCCCTCGACATCTTCGGCCCCATGGACCTCGTCAACTCGCTCTTCATGATGTACCGCAACAAAACAAAAGAGCCCCATCTCTCCATCCTCAGCCGAACCATGGACCCAGTCTCGTCAGCCATGATGTCCGGCGGCTTCGGCGAAGCAATCCTGCCAACAACAACCTTCAAACAGTACCTATCCGACCACGGGCCCACCAACGATACCGCCAGCACGTCTGTTGACGGCAAGCCCGACATCGACGTCCTAATTGTGCCTGGCGGCGGCGGCACCCGCAACGACATGAGCGAGGAAATCGCCTTCATAGCCGCCGCCTTCCCGCGCCTCAAGTACATCATTTCCATCTGCACGGGCGCCTCGCTGCTGTCGCGCGCAGGCGTGCTCCAAGGTCGCCGCGCTACCACCAATAAACGCAGTTGGGCCTGGGCGACCTCGCACGGCAACAACATCACGTGGGTCCCTACTGCGCGCTGGGTCCAGGACGGCAATGTGTGGTCCAGTAGTGGGGTCTCGGCAGGTATAGATGCCATGTATGCCTTTGTTGGCTCTGTCTATGGCGAGGACGTGGCTACGTTTATGAGCCTGAACCTCGAGTATACTAGGGAGCTGCACTGGGACGCGGATCCGTTTGCCGCGGTTTGGGATGTCCCTGGCGCGAAGTAGAGGCATGCCGACTTTGGTTGCAAGTAGGATACTATGTGCTTGTGCCCGGCATCACATATGATGCTACCCCTTCATGTCTTTGCATGACTGATATACATATATATATATATATATATATATATATGTGTGTGTGTGTGTGTGTGCGTGGATAAATAGTAGTATAGAATTTGATCCTTCACTGCTTAGCAATATCAATATGTACAATCATGGTCTCATTCATTCATACGAAGCCCACTCCCTATCCAAAATGTCCAACTCACGCTTCGCCCATTCGTATTTGCTATCTCCTGGCTCAGCATTGCCCAGCCCCCTCAAAATATCCCCTCTCTCCCTCGTATTGGCAACTTGTGCCTTCTTCCTCTCCAAAGCCTTGCGCTTCAAGTATGCAAAATCCTCGTCCTCCACACTACGCATCCATACCGAGCGCATGCGTGGACTCCACAAACAACAGCTTGATCCGGCTTCCGGGTCTTCGCCAGGGACTAGCTGGATTGATTTGTTAAACAAGCGCGGAATCGTCGTGGGTAGGGATTTCGATTGCATGGCAGGCCAGACAAATCGATCGTAGCATTCCTCGCATACCGTGAATTCAGGGAGCTGAGGGATAAAGTACCATGGCTTCCGAATCAGTATCTTGTCTCTGGCGCACTCTCCCTTGAAAGCATAGTCGCGCGCCAGGTCGACAAAACGGTCAATGTCAGGTCGGCGACCAGTTATCTGGGCATCTTCGTCAAGCTCCATAAGAAGTTCCAAGTACTTCATGAGACGGCGTGAGCTCATACGGAAGCTGCAAGTGTATCGACTTGGTGCGTTTGAATAGCCAACAGTGATACGGGGAAAGTAGCCGCGGATGCTGGGAAATAGGGCTTCGGCCAATCTTCGGTCACTAGAACAGATGGCAAAGTTGGGCACAAACATGCCGTCGCGTTGATTGACAATGCCGTACCAACTGGCCTCATTAGTGTCCTTTTCTCGTTCTCCAGGGCACGGCTTGTAGGTGTCCATGATATCTGCCACGGCACAAAGTAAGTCGAGTGACTTCAGGCGCTGTTTTACAGTGAGGTACCACGCAAGGCGCGGCCACGGGTTGCTAAAGTCACACGCCCGTTTGATTGACCAGTCGTCTAACCAGATCTGCTTGAATTCCCCGTCGAATCGAGTCTCAAAAAACACGCTCTTGTAGCAATCAGGACATATGTTGAAATTTTTGAAGCCGCGGAGGCTGTACCAATCATCGTACTCTCTCGAGGCCTTGCTCCTTGGACAGTCTGGCAGTGATTTGAGGTCCAAAGAAGCTACTCTCCGCAACGACTTGTCCCTACGACCGTCCTGGGAGCGGATGCTATCCGATCTTGCCCTTCTGGAAAGTCCGGGTTCCTCACGAATGCTTTGTCTGGAAGGCTGGGCTTGGGAATCTCTGATATACGGGGAGCTGGTAGCAGTCGGCGACGAGGATCTGGGAGGCTCTATGTAGTCTTGTCTGGGAGAAGCGATGGGTGAATGGTTGTACTGGTAATTCTGTTCCGGTGGCATCAGGACATCAATGAGCTGATCATCCATAGGATACGGCAAAGCAGAATGCGAAGAGGATGGTCTCCCGGATGCTAAGGAACTCTGCACATCACCGCGTGGTCTTGGAGCCGGCGTTGTCTCGTATCTTCCGTACCTGGAAGGCGGTCTTGATCTATCCTGGGCGCGAGCAGGGGGGATGCTGGTGTGCTGATCGACCTCGGAAATGGGAAAGCGACCTCGTCCGGGCGAATGAGACTCAAATGTGCTCGAATGAGATAGAGGGGTAGGAGGTTGTCCACCGCTTCGAGAAGAGGGGCGCGTTGCAGGTGGTGACTCCTTCAACCGCGTCGGAAGTTGAGATGAGGCGGTTCGTGGCAACGGTGAACTTGGTCTGGACCCGGGCCGCGGACTGTTGGCGTAGGCAGTATCAACAGGAACAGGTCTGGGCTTTTTTGCGCTATTGTTCAAGGAAGAAGCGGATGATCTTGGAGATTGGGCATACAGATTCTCCTTTGACGAGTTGGACGAGTATTCCTTGCGCAGAGTTGGTACCGAACGATCCCCAGAGTCGCGCCTTGTCGATTCCGGCCGATGCTGCGTGTCACGTAAATTTGTTCTCAAAGCTTCTCTTTGCAGATCGTTCTGCACGAAGCTGTAGCGTGCGGGTTTCCGATCTGCTCGTAGGTGGGTAGTGCTATCGGTCTCTGAGTCCGAGTCAAAGACACGATCTTTTTCCGCCTGCCGAGAGTTTGCAAGGGAGTTGTGGCGGCTGCTGACCGGTCGAGGCGTTGGTGATTTACCATGGGAATGCCGTTGTGCGTCTTGGTCAGCTCGGCCCATGTCCGATGTAGCGAAACGGCTGTCGGATGGGGTCATGGGTTCTGGCGAACGCAGAAAGTCGGTCGGCATAGGAGCAGTCGATTCCTTCTGTGGTTGTGAGTAGCCATAAGGCATCCTCTCCCGTTCTGTGAACAAAGGCGGGTCTGGGACATCGGTGTTGATATTCGGCATGGGGCCACGGTCTGCGAAGCTCCTCCTCTGGCGATCTCGATGGGGGCTGGATCGTGTTGTCGCATCGGGATCTGTGACGGATCCGGAGTTATGCCTCGAGCGACGGTCATCACCTTGTGTAGCACTGGGCTGCTCGATCTCATCCAGTATGTACTCCTGGTCGATGGTACCCCGCGTATTGACGGGCGGCTCACCATCATCACGCCTTTGTGCTGGCGAAGGCGGCTGTGACCGAGCCTCTTTGGCCAGGGCTTCTGGCTCGTCCTCTACACTAGGCGGAGGCGGCCATGATTCCTTTCGTCTGTGTGACCTGTATGATTGCGAGGCGGATCGTCTGGGACGGGGTGTGCGGGGCTCGTAGGAGGGGTAGGAAGTAGTGTAGGGATTGCTGGCGCGCATGTCTGTTAGTTCCCTGCGGGCATCGGCGAGAGTGGCTTCGTGCCGCGAGTAGGCATATGCGTCTGCATCGCGCGGCGATGCATAATAAGAATCATGGCGTGGGTGCTCGTAATAGCGACTGTCGTATCCGTAAGACATGAATGGTGAACGTGAGAGGAGAGGTCAGACGAGCAAGGTGAGAGTGGCGCCTGCCGCGTGCATTGATTCTGGGTGTAGCAGCGAAGACGGGAGCGGTGGTCTGGAAAGCAACGGGGGTGGAGGTGGAGGAGACAAAGGTGTTGCACAACGCAGCAGTAGCCGACATGTTGGAGGGATGCTCAACGCTGCTGGGTGACGCATAGGGCCCAGCGTGAATTGTGGGTCATGGCTGCTGCGATACGCAGCGGACCCTATTGTCAGCCCACGCTCATTTGCTCGCTTCGCCGGCCCCGCCCCCAAGGCGGCGGCGCATGCCGGGGACCGCGTTTACTGCCACTTGATGCGTTCATCGTGGTCACTCGGTAAGCAAGGCCATTACCTACATATATACTACGTGCATCCGGTGAGTCTGTTCGGGGTGACAGGTAAGACTACACCTTTGTAGATGGTGGGCAACAAGGCAGACAGGGTACTACAGAGGACTGCTAATTGAGTCGTGTTCTTGCATCTGTGCACAATCATGAGACTTTTCTTTTGTTGTTCGGATAAGCTTAAATACAACGTTAATCTTCGTTCTCACATGTTTTGTCATGTGGGCTATATATGTAACAATCTAGCAAAATATCCTACTACGCGGCCGTGCCTCCTCGTCTGCGCGATAGTATAGCTTGAAATAAGAAGAGTACATTGCGCATCATCTATCAAAGAAGCTTCAGTAGATGATGTCGGATACATTTGGGGGAGGGTAGTCAAGACGCGGTAATTGGGTATCAAAAAAGAATTCGTATCGAATGGAACAAGGGCGTAACAAGCGGAGGAATTGTGGGAAGGCTTCATCGTGGAAATGTATGCTGTGTTTAGAAGAAGTTGCCCTGGGGAACAGCACAAAAGATGCCGACAGCCACGCCAGAGATGATGAGAGCACCGAGAATAGCTTGGAGGAAGATGGTATCCTGAATCTGGCGAAGAGCAGGCTCCTGGATCCAGATCTCACGGTCAAAGACCTTGCGAACAAGGTTGCGTTTTTCGTAGCGTGCAACCCATGGCTCATCTTCGTAAGAATTGGTGGATGCGTGAGACTCTATGCTTTGGGAAGACTCGGATTTGATCTCTTCGGCCTGCAGTTCATCGTCGGACGCAAAAAGCTCCCATGGTCGGAGATGTCGATGATGCATGCCGTGAAGCACCACACACATGCCTTTCCAGGCTGCAATCAGGGTGGAGATGCCGATGAAGAAACCAATCAGCGACATGACGCGCCATGCACGACCAGCGCCGCTAAGAGTGAGAACGATGGCAGTAACGAGACCGGCGACGATGCCGCCAATACCGAGGCCACGTGCGAAGATGACACGGGGACGGTTGCCGTTGCAGATGGTCCAGCGAATAAAGTTGGGATGTGCCTGGCAACGAAGCGACCATTCGACAGACGTGATGACATCGTTGAAGGCAGATGGGTGTGTCGTGTTCTGGAGAGCATGCAGCAAAGAAGTGTGCTCCTTGGACGAGAGGTTCAGCTGGCGCGGTCCATTGTCGGCAATGTAGATGGAGATGATGCGATTGATCTCTTCTCGGTACGGCTGGATGGATACTGCGGGGGGGTGTGAGCGAGTGGATCCTAGAGAGACGAAGAGCAGAATCAGTAAAGGCCATACTCACGTGGTTTCCATTTGAGGCCAGCATGATCAAACGCACCAGCAGCACGCTGGGCATGATCAATCTTGAAGCCAGATCTGCTCTCACTGTTGAAGTCGAGAGAGCCGGCAGCCGCTTGGTCGAAGCTGCTAGGAGTGCGAGGCGGCGTGTGAAAAGGATCGCTAGCAGCCTTGTCGGATTCAGCACGGCGGCCTTCGGTGGCGAAATCGGTGCCTTTGAGGATAGTTGCGGCTTCAGTACTGTAAAGCAGTGGGCTGGGCTTTGGGTCGTTGGCGTTGTTAGTCTCACCAGTCCATTCAGGCGACAAGACCTTGTCGCTTTCTGGTAGGGCATTGAAGCGCTTGACGTAGTCGCGGTACCAGAGGAAGAATTGCAGGTTCTCGGCGGACAGCTCGATGTACTTGAGGAAGTTCATGAAATCACGAACGGTACAAGGCTGAGGCAAGTTAGTGTGCAGTCGAGGATAGGCCGGATCAGTGTTGGGAGGGGACAAGAGCATGATGATGGACCACAGATGCAAGTATGCAAAGGAAGGCGCGACGGGCCAAACGTACCGGGCAAGTGCCACCAGCAACAATGTTGTCAAAGGACAAGGCTTCGGGAATGCCATTGGATATGCCGCTCGAGCCAGACTTGATTGATGCGCGAATTGTCTCGCGCTTGGTGTCATTGGAGATGGCAGAGGCATTGTCGGCAACAGTGGCACGGCCTGGGCGGCGATACGACAGCGAGTAGACCATGGTGGGCCTGAGAGGGTGTGAGGGGTGTGTTTGTGTATAGTGAGTGTGGGTGATGAAAAAGAAGGGAAGGGTGGTGGGAGAAGAGCGATGCAGAGGCCAAGAGCGGTTGAGCGGTTGAGCGGTTGAGCGGTTGAGCGGGCCAGGCGGGACGATCTGAGGGGGAGGAGGAGTATATGTATGTGTGTGTGTGTGTGTGTGTAAGGTATGCATCTACATCGATACTATGTAAGCGTGCAGATTTGGGGAGAGAAAAGTAGATGGCCGTAGCGTCAAGATGCAATCCCAGCAGGGAGGTAGTTTCCCGCAGACAGGCACATGGCCAGGATCCGCCCGCCAGGACGCCAGCTGAGGCAGCCACCAGTTCTGCACGGTTGTGACGGCTACAGGCTAGCGGTGGAGGGACGCGATATTGGCGACGACGATGGAGCGGCTATGTGGGCAGAAGCCGTGTCGATCGCCCGGGCCCTTGTGCTCTAGCTACACCAAGTCGACATGGCCACCATGACTAGTACTTTGCTTAGCGATTCTCGGGCCTTTTCGCAGCAGTTGCTACATGCATGTTTGTATTAGAGTACGTGCGGTCGTATAATCCTCGTAACCACCAAGATACCTGGTGTGCATACGTACACAGGTGTCGAGAGGTCAAGGCCAAGACAAGCAGTCGACGTTGGGAAATGAAGATGCGACCGAGGCTGCCGTCCCAGTGACGGCCGCCACAGGCAACGCGCCGGCGCAACGCTCGCAAGCGCAGCAAAAAAGACGAAAAAGGCGAAAAAGACCACAAGGCCAGTGGACACAAGCCGTGGTCAAGCCGTGTACAAGCCTTGGGCAACCATAGTGACGTTGTTTCAGACAGCCACATGCGCCTGCCGACAGCACCCGCGTTCTGATTGGCTCTCCGGGGACGCGCCTGCAGCCAATCAGAGCAGCCTCCATCGTCACCACGCATGTTCCTCCCACTATCTTACCCGTGTCTGCGAACACACATACTACACGTCTATGCATCTACTGCACGTACAGTCGCCGTCTTCGCAACACGTCTTCGCAGCCCAGCAAAGTACCTTGTACACACTAGCATCCTGTCCTATCCTATGCCATGCCATGCCATGCCATACATACATGCATACATACTCTGCCTGCCTGGGTGGTGGCGCTCCCCTGCCTCCCCCCGATGCCAGCGAAAACACCAGCTCCTGACGCTTTCCGTAAGCCGGCCGATTGGTCTACTGCGTCTCCCAACTAGCGGCACAAAGTCAAACCACGTACCTACTTACCTCCCAAAGCCCACCTCTTGACACTTGGTAGCCTTCCCCTTTTCTCCACCATCTCACGGCAAAGTCTGCCGCCTTGGTCCGTACAGTCGACGCAGCTACGTTGCCACAACACCTCAAGGCTGAGCCGTGCCGTGTTCCCTGACACCCGTCAGAACCATTCTCACGGTTTCGCATGGCTCACCACATGTCACCACCACCACCACCTCCTCCTCCCCACGTTACGTGTCGCTTACAAGTATTCGTCCGCCAACTTTGGCATCACGCCGCTTAATCGCAAACTACTTTTCGCTTTCGCATATCCACCACCTTCCCCACACCATCGAAGCTTATACCTATTCATGTCTTTGGACACCAGCTGGCCCCCCTTCCACTAGCCACTCCCTCGGCCTCGGGCCAAGTTTTCATCTAGTGCGAATCGCTTCTGCTTCGCCGACTGGACCATGGATACAAATGCGCTAATGTACATCTAGCTGTTCCATGGCTTCCTCCACTAAGCTCCTGTGCCTGCACCCTCTCCGTCGCCGCATCTTCGTCGACTTTTCTTTTTTCTTGGGTAACGTCCTGCGGCTTTCGAGACCCTGGCCCACCATGGCATCCATCCTGATCCAAAATCTGCGACTGAAGCCACCATCGCCCCTACCTGTGGGCTCCTCATACCCATGTGACTTCCAAAAACAAACACGATCGTGGGTTCCCGGGGACCCACTTTGCATCGACTTGGCAATCTCCATCGCCGGCCGCATCTTCCCAGAAGCTCGTTGCATGCATACCGCTGCACACACACACACACACACACACACACACACACACACACACACACACACACACNCACACACACACACACACACACACACACACACACACACACACACACACACACACCCCTGGTCATCCTGTCTCGACAAGCAAATCTCTGTAAAGAAATCGGGTTTGTCCTCGATCCAAAAAAAAAACGGGGCGCTCAGGGGAAAATCAACCATCCCTGCCGCACACCCGCGTTATGCATGCGGATGAACACGTCGGCTAATCACTTTGCATCCAAATCATATACCTTCATCTCCCAGCCGTGCAAACTTCACCAACATGCTCCGTTTGGGGGGTGCAGTTGCGAGATGATTTCTCGGTAGTCAATCATCCTCTTTACCAATGACATGTAGATACGTGCACACCATGGCATGAGGCAAAAGTTGGCTATGCAAACAAGCCTTCACACTGCCCCTGTAGTCCTGGCCTGGGTTCGGGCTGCGTCTAGGCCACGGTCTTTGCAGCTGTGTTTGGCGATAGCCTGAGGCAGGTACCACGGCACGGTAACAGTAAGCACACTAGCACGCTTGACAAGTGCTGCGTTAGCCACTGTGTCCAACAATCAAACTCTGCCCTTTTAACCCGCCTCAGTTTCCGTGTCAGGTTGGCAAATGCAGACAGTGAGTGAATCAATTTTTTTATACTAAGTGTTGAAAACAATGCAATTCCAGATTGCACCAAACAAGAGTCATGCATGCAAACAAAGGACAATACGATTGGAACAAACCATTTGTCTCATGATAGTCACCCAATACCTTCAGCCCCAAGTAGCCTTCATATCGCGGCTTCCCGGTAGACATTCAGTCATGCCTACTGCACATCCGTCACACTCATGGAGTTTTCCGGTATTGAATTGCACTTCCGTAATCCACAACTAGGCTTCCAAGTCTTTCATTACTCAAACGATATCTCTAACCCCCACGCCCTGCCCTTGGCACACAACATTGGAATCTTTCGCAACCTCAAGCAAGCACAAGATGCAGCACAATGCGAGTTGACGCGCGTTTTGGGATTCTATCTCAACCAAGGGCACTCCGGTCGTTGTTTTCGCGAGATGGATCTGAGTCTACGCGGCCTCATCACAGCTTACGCAGACAGCTTGGATGATGCTAGACAGTTGATTCGGCGCGAGCTCATTTTGAGCGAATTCCACATTGCAAAGGTTGACGTCTGGAACCCATCGTGGACCGTTGAGACTGGGAGGACCATTCGTGAGAGAAAAGCGCAAGTGCACGAACGATCTGCGTACAGATTTCGTTGGGAAGACGATCCGAGATTTGTCCAGCACGATGAAGAACGTTTGCCAGAATGGGCAACATCTCGTACCCCATTATTTGCTCGTCGAGACGAAGGCCCCTTGCGTCGACCAGGCGACCAACCCTACGCTGTACGAATGGGCTTTTCGTCACCAAAGTCAATGCCTGTTATGCCGTCCATGTCGGAGCAATCAGTCAAGCCCCCAGATAGTGGGCTTTGGCGAAGAAACAGCGTGTAAGCCTGGAGGGACTACTGGTCAAGTATCAAGCAATGAGGGGAGATTGTTGTAGTTAAATGGATTTGGCAGATAGCTAGGGATGAATGTAGTCTCCATCCCTTCACGTTATTTGAAAGTATAGATAGACCTTCTTCTTCTTCTTTTCGGTGTTCAAGTATCCTACAGGCCACTTAATGACTACTCTATTCAACTCAACCAACGGTCTACTATGACCGTGTTGCATTGCTATCCATGTACGCAGCGCTCAAGCGTTCATTCCATTTGTTTGTTTATTTTGTGTAACTATGGAATATGTGTATGTAGAGTACCCATGTACATAGAAACATACACACACACGTAGCCCCAAAAAAGCAAGCAATCACGTCACGGGTACATGACAGGGGTATGCCGCGACGATCCAAAAGCAATCATCAAGTCCCGGCAAGACACCGATCAGCTTTGTCCCAAGATGATGATCTTCATCGGATCTATCCACCAGTCTTATTCCTCACCTCGTTTGTTCTTCTCGTACTTTCTTATCTCTACAAAGGTGGTGTGCAAATCAGTTCTTGAGTATCCGACTCACCATGTGCTTTCTATCACATGAGCAGTAAAAGAAAGAGCTTTTTGTTTCTCGGGATGAAAAGACCCGGGGAGAATATTCGGGTATTAGTGTGAGGGTGGAATTGAGAATGTGGCATACGTTCAACTACCAGAGTCTGATGCGACTTGGCAGATTGTATTGTGATCAAAGCGGACTAAAAGCTTGCGTTGGTAGGATTGGTCTCGAATCGATTCTACAATGCCTATTATTATGTTTCAATTCAGACTTGAGTTATAATACTCATCAAGAAGGAGAGCATGTAACAACATTTAACACCTTCTTACTCAGAACTGGTGGATGGTATCTGATCCTCCCCGAACATTAACAAAGCCTTCCTACTCTTCTTTGCGATAATGAGTCAGCGAGCGCGACACGCCAACGTAGAACACATGGTCACAATCATAAACAAGAAAGTAAGCTGTGTAACAGCTTACCCCCGGTGAGCGCAAAATGATTGGTGAGAAGGAGGTCGACAGCATCATACCTGAGCTTAGTCCTTTCGTCCCAAAACAGCCTAGTTGATCCATGTACACGTGGTACGTAGTGCCAGACCAGTGATCAGACTCACCGCTCAGCCTCATATCTCCACCATCGCTGTTCGCATGTACATCAGATTTTGCAAACAATCCGATTATTCTTAGCGCAAATGCTACACCAATCAAAATGCTTAAAAACATAAGGCGCTGTGAACGCTATGTTTCGGGTTCAACCTACACAGCACACCCCCGACAATCACGATCACTTTTGTTAAGATGACTCTTATCGTCCGCGTACGCTTACTTGTTGAACCAACAGGGCGACGCTGGGTACCACAATCTTCTCCAGACCGCTACTAATCTCCGCTTTCTCAGGTAGTTGGATATTTCAAGAGAAAAGAACTCAGTTGCTACACAAATCATACACCCCCCCCCCCCCAACCACTTTGTTTTTTTCCTGCTCCTCATTACATACTTGCACATACCCAACATCATATTGTATACAATCTTCTCCATCTCACACACTATATTTGTACCATGCCCATCATGCCGCCCCACGTCATAACAGTCATCCAGCAGTATATCCGCTGGGACGCAGAAATCAAACGGCAAATCGATGGCAAAACACGTGCGAGGACGTGCTCAATCACACGACGAGTTGTTTCGAACTCAATGGAAGATCAACAGGCGGCGCTGTGGCGACCGGAACACACCAGAGGAAATTCGGCAGAGAGTATATGATCGGTGTCCAAAAAAAATAAAGAGGGGGAAAGAGATTTTAGGAATGCATAGTGAGACTGCAAAAGCATGGGAACCGGAGTTATGAGAAAATGATTGCATGAATGGGTATCGAGTGAGAATTTTTGATGGACGAAAAAAAAAATTGCACAATTTATAGTGGTCAAGGGAGGGGGAAGGGGGGGGGGGGAATTAGATTTGAAGAAGCTCGAAATACATATCCTCTCTCTCTCTATGACGAAGCACATCGAGTTACACCACCTTCTTCTTCTGACCAGCACTCGTGATCCTCTTCTCAGTGCCCAGCAAGCCCCCCAGAATACTGATTCCCATCTGCACCAGCGTGACAACGAACCTTACAACGTAATCCTTCCACTCCAAAACAGGCCTCCTGCCCCTCATGAATTTTGCATCTACCACCTCCCACCCCGCCTTGCCGCCAAGCTTCTCGCCAATCTGCAATCCGCTTCGGCATCCGTCTTCATGGAAGCCGTAGCCCGTCCACGCGCCGGCGTACCAGATACCGCGCTTGCCTTGTATCTCTTCGAGGCGGTCTTGTGCAAATACCATGCGCGAATTATACAGGGGGTGGCGGTACTGGTATGTTGCCTGGGTGAGAGCAGGGGAAGGAGGTGAGGGTGGATTGAGAGTCACGAGCACAGACGAGAAGGTCTCTCGCGGGATGTGTTGGAGAGTGTTCATGTCATAGGTCAAGCAGACGGACTCGATAGCACCGGAAGATGAGTCTAGGTTCGCGTTTTTTGGTGGATTGGACGCAGACGTTGTGAGATAGTTCCATGCCGACCAGGCTGTACGGCGTTGGGGCATGAGCTAGAGCTTGTTAGCAGTCCTTTCCTTCATATACGCCATCAATCAACAAACTTACTGAGAGGTCAGAGTGCAAATATGCAGTATTGGGTGTTGTTTCGAATGCATCTAGGATTTCCTTTTCTTGTTCGGTTGCATCATCTCCCAGTATCCATCTTGCTTGGTCTCCATGGCAAGCCAGCACAACTTCGTCGAAGATTTCCGTCTGACCTTCTCCTCTCCCTCCCAACGTCAATTCGACTTTCTGATCCTTACTCTTTACAGCCAGGACAGGCGTTCCAAGGTGGCCTTGACAATTTCCTGCTAGCTCCAGCACGGCGTCGATGTACTTGATGGATCCACCTTCAACAGTCAACCAGGGCGGCCTTTCAGCGATGGTGCTGAGGAGGTGATGGTTCCACATGAAGCGCACAAGCGTCAAGGCGGGAAATTCCAAGGCACATTTGTCTGCGCCAGTACTCCAAACGCATGCGGTCATTGGGATCAAGTAATCGTCTCTAAAGGCGTCCGAGTAGCCCTCTTGGTCAAGATACTCTCCAATGCTCATCTTGGTGGCGGCGATGGCAGCTGGAGAGCCTGGGGTGATTGACAGCAAGTCGAGAGCAAACTGGTTGAAGCGGACGATATCGAAGATCATGCGCCAGAAGGATGGTTTGAGTGCATTGGATGGCTGAGCGAAGAGCGTACTGCCCGATGTGCCTGACCATTCAAAGGCACCTGCATCGCGGGAGACGCCAAAAGTCATGAGAGATGGCACAGTTTTTACGCGTAGAGTGGAGAGAAACTTGATAAAGTTTGCTATTGTCTGTCAACTTTGATTCGAGTAGCAGGATATGTGGGAAGAGACGAACGGTAGGTAGCCGTGTTCAAAACGATGAAGCCAGTATCAACAGGCGTGCTTTTGCCGTTGTGCTTCCACATCACCGTATTTGTGTGGCCGCCCAGTCGCTCCTCTTTTTCAAAAAGATGCACCTCATGCTGGGTATCGCGGAGGGCAAACAGGGCACTCAGGCCGGATATGCCGCTGCCGACGATAGCTATACGCTTTTTCCCCGCCTCGTTGCTCATGGTGACCTAGTGCGGAAGCGCAATGGTTACACGAGCAGGCTAGAATTCAATGCTGGGTAGATGTACCACAAGGACAATAGAGAACGAACAGAGCTAGTATGAGCTGCGGAAGATATGTGACTCATGAGGTCATGGATGTTGAAGCTAGGCCCGTCGCTGCAAGTACTACATGACTAATACCGCCGCTGCTCGATCCACGCATTCCAACAGCAACAGAGCTGTGGTGCAGTACAGTGTGGTGTTGCATGCGTGTAGCATATTTCTACAAGACTAGGTTATCATTGGTGCCCAGATTGGACCTACGTAATTAGCCCTCTGGAGAAAAAGATGGAGTGGGCCGCTGATCCTACTAAACAGTCGCCCCACCCGGTTGCGAAGATGATGTAGCGAAGATGCGGTTTCTAGGATTGGTGAACGCATGCCGGGCCTTTGAGACATTCAGAGCCGCAACGTGCTGCGCGGTGCGGCCTTGTGTGTGTGAGGAAGTGCGGACCATGCCAACGACGCGTTCAATCCGCGTTCTGGTACTGGAAAAGCAATCATGAGTGTAAACTGACGCGACCGTGTCGGCGACTGTTGATAGCTGGAACCATCTTCAATAGACATCTACACCACCTGGACAGATGACGAGTGAGAGCAGGACAGTCAGGCACAGTTGCGGTTCACGTGACATGGCAGGGATGGCCTTGGCAACTGCGTAATGGCCGCATGAGCTCTGGAGTATCGGCTTGACGCCTCATTCACTTGCACATCGCCCAACAACTGCACGCCCATACACAGACGTCCACCTCGCGCACTCCTCCGTATACACAAACTCCGAAAGTGAAACCATGTCTAACCTCATCGATGCCGACGCGGGCACCGAGCGCTTCAGCGGCTATGAAGCCGAACTCAAGCTCGTCCAAGCCGACCTCAGCCAGCAGATAGATCAGATCAAAGAAACGACGGGCGAGCCCAGGAAGGCCGCCATCAGCAGGGCAGAGCGTGCGCTGGAGGAGGCTGAGGAGTTGGTGAGTTGCAGCCTACAGACATGTCGCCTGTGCGGAACAAGGCATATGGCTTGATGTAGCGACAACATGTACAGAGAATGCAGCGCTCACAAGTCTCTCGTCCAGATTGGCCAGATGCGCCTCGAAAAGTCCAACATTCCCGCCAATCTCAAGTCCAAGTACAACGCGCGCTTTCGCAACTTTGAGCACGATCTCGACACCAGCAAGCGCAAACTGCAAACATACACCTCGGACCGCTCCAAGCTGTTTGGCGACCGCTACACCGACAACCCCGATGGCGGCGACGCCCAGCTTGAGCAGCGCCAGCAACTCCTCTCTGGCACAGATCGTTTGAACAGGTCGAGCAACAGGCTGAGGGAGAGCCAGCGGATTGCGCTTGAGACGGAGCAGATTGGCGCCAGTACTCTCGGCGACTTGCACAGACAGAGGGAGCAAATCACGAATACAAGGGAGAGGCTGCTTGAGAGCGAGGGATATACCGATAGGAGTATCAAGACTTTGAGGGGCATGGCGAGACGGTACGTATAACCCCCTGGTCGCCCNCCCCCCCCATCTCCCCACACCTGGAACCCCTGGTTGATAGGGAGGTCTAGATGGATGCCCTTTTGATTTGCGCAACCAAGAGATGCTAACGATACTTCCACTACAGGATGGCTACGAACCGCATCATTACCATTGCCATTATAACCGTCCTGGTGCTGCTCATTATCGCCGTAATTTTCAGCAAGTTCAGATGAGCGCACCTACCGCCTCCCGTCCCCCTTCTACTAGCTACGATTGCGTGACTTGTTTCCTGTTTGGCGTTTGGAGCAAACAACTGTGTACATTACATGGGGGCCACTTTCTCGTTAGGAGAAGAGAGAGAGAGAGAGAGCCGAGTCATGATAGTTGCGTTAAATGCATTACTTACTCTTCATACTGTCTCAATCAAAGACTTTTGGCCGTCTTGAGACGCCTGCATCTCACTTATGCCCCCTTTTTGCTTGGTTAAAAAAAACAAGGGTCTTGCACTAGGAGAGAATTCAATATCTTTTTTTTTCCAATGCACTGCTTGTTTGGGACTTTGATCGATTGTTCAACCGACCCAAGCCACATGCTAGCATTGCCACCTTGCCAACAGGGTTTGTACGGTAAAACCCTTTCCTTGATGCTACTCCAAATAAGTTGGCAGCCCCATACGTGTTACACGATTACACACAGCACTAAACACTAATTTGGCCTTGAGTGAGGTGTTTTTTTAGTAGTATCATGACGCATAGTATAACTCTGATTCTTTGAAACGCCAAGTTCGTTACCGTGAAGCACGGAGGGGGTTTTTTTTTAAAAAAAAAAAACGGTAAAGAGGCAAACTCACACGGACGTGGTGAAACGGGTGACAGCCCTTGGCGTGAGGAGAGTTATGGGGGAGTGTGAGATAGAGAGAAAGAAAGAGAGAGAGAGAGAGAGTATCACGAGCGTATCGAGGTTCAAGCTGGTAATTCTTGCATTGGAGGGGGGCGAGTTTACGGAATAGCGATTGTGTGGTCCTTGAAATCCTTGTTAAAAGAAAGTTAGTCTTGTAAAGAAAATGTAGGGACCGCTTTTAAGATATGCTTCATGGACGAAAGGGAACATGACATGTGTCCAGACAAAGACAAGAGTGCAATTGGGGGGGGGGGAAGTTTTTTTTTTCAAAAAATACTACTTTAATATTATTGTGTATAGCTTCACTTCTAAATCCTCGAAGAAGCTGCCTGACACGTCACTCCTCCTATTACCACACAACTTGTCGTGGGAGGAAGAGGGGGGCGGAGAGTGGCTGCAGGCAGCTACGCAGCTATCGGGCAAAAAGTCAGGGCTCCTTTAGGGGGAGGAGGCATCGCAGACTTTTGCAGCGCGCGCAATTACAAGAGTACCTGTTCTTTCAAGGTGACTGGCTTGTGGCTTTCCTTATATGTACATAGTGAGCGTGTGTATGGTTGGTTTCCCTGTGATGATAGACAATCACTCTTTTGTGCTGTTTTTCCTCTTATTCTCATGTCATCTACACTGAGAATCACCTCATTCGGGAGATCCGAAAGGAAAGGGTGTTGGGGGTAATTTCTTGTCGATTTCTAATTCCTTCAACCCTGTCTGCGACAATGTGGATGGTCGCCGCATCCATGAGCCTGGTGGCAGCGAAGGCGATTTTCGGATGCGAAGCGGGGCGGGGAAAGCCGTACTGAGCGGCGAAATGGGTGTCATGCGTCGGGCATCAAATCCTGCTTGGAGGCGTGCTATGCATCGTTCAAGTGCTGCACTTGCTGTGCTTGACACGGACGTATTACTTCCTTGGCGCGAGTGTCCTTGGAACATGGGCAAATATGGTGAAGGTGGCGGTGATGTGGGAGTCGTTTGAGACAAGAGAGAACCTTGGCCTGATGGACGGGAGAAGATAGACTGAAGAGGAAATGTCTCCTGCCAAGAATCCTCGTTGAGAATATCGGCTCGAGGCGGTGTAGTTTCAGCCTTTGATTCTGCAGTGGTGGACCTTGATGATGCGGCGCTAGATCTAGGTGGCATTGTGACGAGTCTTGGCGGTGTGCTGATGAGCTGTGGTGGTGTGGTGTTGAGGCTTGTTTGTGCCGTATGGGGTCTCGTTTGTGCGGTGTTGGGTCTCGTATGTGCCGTATGGGGTCTTACTTGTGCAGTGGTGGGCCTAGTTTGGGCGGTGCTAGGCCTTGTTATGTGGGCAGTAGGAGGCCCAGTGGTATACAATGGGTATTTATTTCGCTCCGCCGCTACATCTATTTTGAAGGTTCGATACTTCAAATATCGGGGCGATTCTGAAAAGTACTGGGGCAACACAAGGGCAAACAACGGCCGCATACCTGGTAAGCAAGCGCACACGATGCCTACGTTGACCTCGACTGCCGACAGAGCTGCATGATCCGTATTGTCAAACGACACATCTTTTGAGTTGGCAATGGCATCCAAGGAATAGAGCCTAACAATAGATACCAAGGTGACGCTGTCGATTCATTAGTCCGCTGCATGGTTTACGCTGGGCAAGCTTAACACACCTAGCACCCAAGATGAACATAGTCCCCAGCCCCCGTTTCTGTGATTTCGAGATTGATAGCCCTCGTATGACCAATAGCGGCATGAGGAATATCACCACATCCAAGGTGATGTTCAAGGCGGCATTCGTAATCCACACTGTGAGTTGGTTCATGCATCTACCGCCTGGTATCGACTTGTCCCATGAGAAAGCGATCGGAGTGCAAATGAGTACGCTCGAGGAAACGGCCCAAGCTCCGTATGCGACTACCAGGCCCAAGACAATGAGACAGGCTATGCGGAAGCAACGGACGGGAAAAATGCGAAAATATTGGACAACAATGGACACTTTGATTGTAGTAAGGGTGAGATTATACACCCAGACACTCGCCCAGAACGACTGGTATGCTTGTCAGCTTTCTTCTCCAACAACTTGATAAGAGAGTAGGAAGGTTGGGTTGTGTTTTGGACTTGATTCGCCCTGCATGCGAGCTTACCGTTGCTTCAACCGAGAGCTAGATTTATAGAGTACAAATAATCCAGTCGGTGCTCTTGAGTTGTACAAGAGGGTAGAAGGGGTTTGTGAGAGCGTACCTTTAGTAGTATATCCAGCTCACTGTTCGAGAGTCCCAAGCTGTGATTTCCCAACCCATTCATTACTTGTTCGGTGGTTAGTACCGTAAGTCCCACTGAAAAGACCTAGGGAGACTTCTATTAGCGAACAAGTGTATGGTGAGGACAAAGCTCACTCACCATGGCGAGTACAATAAAAGCATCTTCCCATCCAGCCATTTTTGATATTACCAGGCGTGTAAAAAGACGTAAAAAAACAACCAAGCTTGAAACAAGGGTGAAGGCAAGTACTATGATATTAACCCGTATTCCAGCGGGGGTAGAATTGGTGATGTCCATTATGGTGGAGGTAGTAAGGGCCAGTCAAGGGTCTTGATGATGGAAGACAAACCGCCAAGAAAAAAAAGAAGTTGTAACAATCACATTGCTCAATAATCCATGTTCAGCGTCATGGTAATAACAGAGGGTATTAAGGCCTGACACTGATGGTTATAAGGGTCAAAAGGCGAGAGTGACGCGGCCAGGATGAAGGGGGGGGACCTAGCGCGAGGAAGAGAGTAAATTGGTGAAGGTGGCTTTAGAAATTAGAGGCATGATGTACATCTATTGGCAGCTCAGCTCAGCTCGAACGATGGCAGGGTTCGCGGGCTTTAGACAATCCTGCTGAATCTAGAAGTGGGGTGGTGGCGAGCAGTATCAAAATAGGCTGCCCAGGCCCTGCCTACACTCTCAAGACATGACCGTTTCGAACGCGACAAAGACTATAGCATGGCGATCAGTCAAAGCATCGGCCGACTGCTGCCTTGTCCAGCGTGGCGCGAGACCAGATACGGAGAAGAACAGGCAGGAAGAGTAGGAGACGGGGGCGCAATGCCGCGCGGATTCCCGTCTCGGGTAAGCTCATGGGAGCTTCTGTGAGTAACGTCCTGGTTTGGCTAGGCTTCGGGTATTGTGACTGAGGCGATGGTACGGAACTTTCGGCGTCGCATGTCAATGACTAGATGCCGTCTTTTAGCAATCAAATAGTGACGACGTGAGAGGTTTGCAGTGGCCTGAAGGATGACTGATTCTTGCCTGGGGATGCCGTTGTGCATAATGGCGGCCCTAGGTGTTGCGCATGAATGTATGCATGCATGCATGTGCGGAGGGCAGCAGTTGTTGGCAGCAGGACGAGTTTTGTTTGCCCTCGTGGTTCGGAATTTGTTATGCAACCGTTTGCGGAGGAGGATGGCGCAAGGCTACTAGCTGGCTACTAGCTAGTGTCGACGCTGCAGGTCCGGCCGAACGCCAGTTGTGGGCCGAAACCTTGGTGAACATCTTACGACCCTGAAACCGCCCCAAGGCTATTGACGAGCTCTGCAGCAAATAACATTTGCCCTAAGGTGGGAAAACAATCCCTAGATGCATCTTAGTGAACTCAGGGACGCCGCATAGGGCACACGCAATAAACCTTGTTCAGCAGTGGTAGCCGTAGCAAAACAGGCGTGGGCGCGACGGAGAAGTCGGCATGCCGCAGATGTAAATGGTTTGTCGGATGAGCTAGTAGGCATGAGGCTTGAGTCGCTTGATATCGTGACAGCTGCATGGGGCATGCATGGTGTGGAGAGTCAGGCTGAGAAGGGCGGTCTAGTTTTTGTCGCTCGCTCTTGTGGTCAGTAGGTAATAAAGCTACTCTTAGCTTTTGCGCCGTTTGTGCAGATAGCTCGTGTTCTGCCAAACTCTGCCTTGTTGACATGTCCTGGCGTGCACAATCTCATCTTTGCTGCGCAGACCAGATAAGTTGGTGTGGGACATGAGACCTGTTTGTGCCCAAAAAAAAAGAAGGTAGGTATCGTGAGCATGGCACCCGAGAGTTGCGTCTCACCAAGCGCAGCGAGGACGATGACGTTGACGGCATGGTGCTGAGTTGTTTGATCTTCCGGAAAGTTGGCTTCCAGCATGGCTGAGGTGAGATGTCTTGTAGTAAGATGGAAAAAAGTCTCCGTAGATGTGCTGCAATAGACTATGCATTAAGGACCAGGTTGCAAGTGCGGCGCATATGGACAGGCGAGAAATCCTTCGGAGGCGCAGCCAACACAATGACAGATTTGCGCGACACTGATGCCTTGCAGGATTAATAAGAGTGAAAGGGGCAATCCCCTTTGTGGCGTGAGCGATTGGCATGTTTGTACACAGATACGTCCGTACCGAGGAATATCAAATTGCTAATGGCGATGGCCTTGGCGATCATCACAGTGAATTGGGCGACTCGCAACACATGAACTAGGACCACGTGTTGGCCGACACTCGAGTCATCGAGCCATGCCGGTACGGGGCCGGGGGTTGTGAACGAGTCACTTCAGTCGGGCTGGTGTTGCTACTACTATGTAGTCGGTAGGGAGAAGTCGCTTGCAAGCGCAGTGTCTGGCGAGTAGGATGGGTAAGTGATGGTGCGCATTAGATATGCGTTGCATCGTCATGACAACGCCGTGGCAGTCGGGGCAAACAAGGCCTTGCGGGGTGCTCTTCTTCAACAAAGCAGCAAGCTGCACAGGTCAACGAAAGGCAGCACAAAGCACGCGTGGTGTGTCAAAAATTCCCAGCCGACCCGAAGGCCAACTGGAGCGGTCATAGTTGTAGTTTTCAACTAGCAAAAACGCTACCTCGGACGAATCCTCACTGGTAAGCGTAAAGCCCGAGCACTTGGATGCCGGCGGACAAGGAGGAAGAGGGAGACGCAGGTTATATACCCGAGGGAGGGCGCTAGACGCTTGGCACGCTAGCGGCACGTGACTGGGCCGTGCGCAGGCAGCACCGGCAGCCTTGGCTTGTTGCAGCCAATCACGGCGGCGCGTGCCCCACAAGGCCGGCAGAAGCCTCCCGAGCCTCACCCCCAAGGCCAGATAGAGTAGTGTGGTGTAGTGCTGGAGATGCCTTTGACGGCAATGGACACGTCTTCCGGTATACATGGTACTGCGCAGCATACAGGTACGCGCGCATAAACACACGTGCACATGCATACATGCATACATACACAAACGGCTGCTCAGCGCCAAACTTTCCACGGCCAGTGCAGAGTAGTGTACATGCCATCAGTAGTCAGCACACTCCATGCCTGCCTCGTCTCGCCAAATCCTCGTCAATTGCCATCGTCTGCGCAGAGTGTAATGCTTGGCCCAAACGGGCAGGAAGCCTGGTCCTTCCTGAAAGGGCATCCATTTTCGCTAATACCCATGTCCCCCAGTGCCAGATTCACCATTCGCTCGTATCGAGACTTCCATTTTCATCTACTTATACGTATCTAGCTAGCCTCAATGTGAGCCTTGCAGCTAGAATCCCCAGTCTTTAAATTCTGGGTACCAACGAGCTTTGGCCGCGCTCGCGTCCACCTGGCCTTGTCACCACCAGTATCCAGAAACCCTTGCCTCGACGCCGGTATTGACCTCCAACTGAGCATTGGTGCTTGTCCCCTCTTACCCTTGCTACCACAATCAACATCATGTTGCAGTTGGCAGCATGACGTCAAGCCTGTCTGTCCCTAGCCTTGAGTAAACGATGTTCTAGCCTAGTACTACGTATTGCCCACGCCCAAGATTCGGCAGGACAACTGCTGCTACTGCTGCCGCTGCCGCCGCTGCATTAACTCGACATCTCTCCCTTTCTTCATTGTAGCGTAAAGTAACTTGGATGGAACCCCGGCCCTTCCGAATGGGGTGCAGGGTTGGCGCTGGTTGGGGCGTTGTATCCCCCATACGTCGACGCCGCCGCAGCTGTGGTCGTTGATGGCCGAGGCACACAAACATCTGGGACGGGCTCAGAGTGAAAGTCTCGTATTACCGGGGCCTCTTTACGATCCCAAAGATCCGACACATCCACTCCATACTGCCTAGCCACCCTCTCAAAGCAGTCGAAGGCTATTCGATGAGCACGGGCAGCCACGGGACCCTGCATCCGCTGGAGCCAAGATATTGCCTTCCTCACGTGATGAATGATTACTGAAGCCTCGCACGACGTCGATGAGGGGTACGAGAGACCGAGCAAGAAGACGGAGACTGCTTGCATCATGTGGTGCACGAGGCACCACCAAGGCAAATCTTCATGAATTCGACCGTTGAAATCATCGGGCAAAGACGCAACAATCGCCCTGGCGGCCTCAATACAACCATCCGCCATGTTCCTTGCAAAGCTTGCGTCGTGGAAATCTTTCCATGGTTGCCGTCGCGCAGCCAGAAACGGTCGTGTAAGCAAGATACGCGCGCTGCAAAACTGAAATTTGAGGAGCACACGCTCACGAGAAAACCCATCGCTAGGCCCTCGCCCATCTCCATGCGGTCGGAGCTCCAAAGGTAACGAAGAAGCCCACTGGTCTAAGCGTTGACGCAAAGATGTCGAGTCCTGCTGAACATCACTTGGAGACCGGATCATCGTACCAGCCGAGTAGAGTGAGGTGAGAATGTTCTGCGTTATTATCGACAACTGCACCCCAGCCCTGAAGTACAACCCAGCACTGGTGCTTGGTTTTGCAAAACCCTGCGGTGTCTTAGGACGGCTCGCGGCAACATTGGACGAGACGGGAAACAGGGCCAAGTGTGATATCGATGCATCCCCAATGCTGACATAGGCCGCTGTGCTTCCCTCTGCTCTGCCGTCCTCAGAATTCGTCATGGGCAATGGTACCGAACAGTATGAGTCGACCACGATGCTAGGACGACCGGTTATGACGCTGAGGATCCTTTCAAGAGAGTATAAGCTCCACCAGATTTGCACTAGAGATTCTCGTTTCTTCGCATTAGCCGACGGGTCTTCGTTTCGCACATGGAGGCCCAGGGAATACGCAGCACGCATAGCGATGCCGACGATTGTCCAAGCACTAGCATGGTCAGCACTTCCGTCACTTCAGTCTACACAGCAAAAGGGATATTGGCTGGGCACTCACCGATTGACCTGCCCAACACTGAGCCAGTAGAATCCGAGAAGACCCAAGCTTTGGATCTGTGGCACATCTGGATGAGAAGCCACTGCAGCCTCACCCAAGCCAAAAGCACGCGCCCGTGCTTGATATGTAATGTGCTCATTGGCTAACCAACCTTCGTTCAGATGTGCATAGTTGGCTCCAATGGCAAAGACGAGGTTCAGGATAATTTGCCACTTTGGATTCAAACTTGGCGCGTTCCCACTCTGTAATGCCCCAAAGTATACACGAGCCTGCTCCGCAAATTCTCTACTAGGAAGAATTGGAAAAGAATCGTGCACTTTGGACATGTAGCACTGTACTACAAGTTTGAGCATGTCAGGTCAGCGTATGGATTACAGGAAGTATGGTGTTTATCCGTGACTTACACAGATGCTCGGCAACATGAGATTGCGGCATTTCGTGCGGGTTCACGTAAAAATCTATATTCACATCGTCGTAATCTGTCCAGAAACTGAACGAACTAACCGGCTCGCTGCCTGCGGCGTGCGAAGGGCGACGTGCTGGTCCCGAACTGTCCCAACTCCCGTCTGTTCTCTCGGCTTGGGCGAGTGCAACTGCGCGCAACCATTGCACCTCTGAACTCTTTCCGACAAATCCTGTTGACCGAGCTTCGTCTTTACTATGCAGGTCTTCATCTAGCAAGTCTAGGGCCTCAGTTTCGAGATGCTCGAGATAATCGATGCTGCCCAACTCAACGTTTCCGTGTGAGCTCTGAGCATCGACGTCAGAGTTTGACGGGGTTGGCGTCAGCCTGGTCTCTGTCAAATCTTCGCCAATCTATACTATGTCAATACAAGGGAGCCTTTGTTGACTCTGGAGATAAAGGGTGGGCAGCTGAGGCTTACTTCGTCTAAAAGATCGGTGATGCGATTACTGTCCTGGACGTTTGCGCGGTCTCTGATTTCTCTCAGTAATGCAGCCAGCTGCTGACATTGCTGCGTAACCCTTGGGCTATTAGCACTGGAAATATATTCGGGAACAAAGAAACCCACGTTTTCAGTCGATCTTTCCGAGGCAGGATATACACGCATTGGCGGTTCGTAGTCGCACAATGCTTACAGGTCGGCTTCTCACCTGTGCATTTGATCTTGTGGGAACGACACTAGATACGCAGACAGGCTGTCAGAAATCACATCAGATTAGACAGAGATTGGAGTTGATAGGCGACAGTGGCTCCTGGCGATCGTCGAGAGGACCATGATCATGCCACCCCACGATTGCACAGGAACATCTGTGTACGATTCAAACTTACTCCAGTACACGCCCGAGGCACTCGACGCCTATCCTGTGTCCCACTCTGTCCAGTTTCGACTCGTTGTAAGCGTGGAATAGCGACTTTATGTTGAGTGGACGAGCTCGGGCCGTATATGGCTTGGGGATCGTATTCCGGAGCGTTTGAAGCCATGGTTCCAAGGCAGCGCTATTTTGACCGAAGTTGAAGTAATCGCTTCAAAGGATGTACAGCTTGTCTATCTGACATGGGTTTAACGCTATACAGTAACAACGTATTGCCCAAAGACACAGCATCGAGTCGGGCACGGTGGGACCTTGACCTATGGCGTTGGCAGCTCCAATTTTCGCGTACACTGTGCATCCAAACGTGGTTATTTGGGGGCAAGGGGCCCTATCCGGATCCTAGGGCCGGCAGTCTCGGCCGTCGAGCTAATACTGTATTTCTCCATAGACTCGGGAATTTGGAACGGGACACTTGGCCGTGTCCAATGAGAGCGTCAAGAACAGCCTTCCACCCTGGTGATTCAGGTCTTGTCGTCAGGATAATTGTGGGCTGATTCTTCTGCTCTATAGATCACAGATTCAAGTGGAAATCTTCTTCTGTGCAGAAAGCTTTTCTTCCATAAGCGTGAGCAAGATTCGCGATTTTCCCCGTCAAGGTTTCCACGATTTCCCTTAAAGCACCCTCTGCAAGGATGAACAGACAAACAGACTCACGCGAAAACCTCATTTCCAGGCATAAGCAAGGCCAAACGGCAGGTGGCGTCAGAAGAAGTACCGATGGCGACAAGAGCGGGGACAACGAGAGATTTTGTGGGAACACACATGTACAACTTCATCGTGAGCGCCTTACCTTCCCTCGTCCCGCATTATCCAGTTCGTGGCGAAAGTACGTACATACACGCATACACATGTACATTCCACATATGGGACAACGGCGATATCTGAGCTGCATGGGGAAATTGGGCATCCCTTGCGCAAGTTGGCCTCACAGTTGCATGGGTTTTGACTTGTGTCTCCGGCCCTGACACCCTGTTGCACAATATGCGTTACCAGGCTCAATGACTCGACCGTTAGCGGCGGCACTGTGTGTGCTCCAGAGAGGGACTAGTTCAACCCCATTGAGCACACTCGGATTTACAAAACCATACAAGCAAATCGAGGCGAGAAAAGCAAAAGGGAGCATTTGATGTACCTGGGGTCCAGGGTGAGAGCTGCACTTGCTCATCTGACTTGGACTGCCAACACCCTTTGCTCATATTGGACCTAGTGGCGGTTGTGAGGTCCGCTGCGACATTAGCTTCATGTGGAGAGGAGGATGTCATCTTCTTGTCCTAGGAAAAAAAACACCATCTCCGGTTCAGACACTAACGTACGAATCGATGGTCATCGTACCCAAGTTTTCCTAAGTAGATGAATCGGCTAATTGTATGTATGTACTTTTATGTACAGATGCTGGGTCCATGTGGACAGTGCACGGTATAGCGGTAGCTATGCTACTGTATAGTAGGTTGATGAGAAGATTGCTAACCCTTCGTTTGAACACAGCTGAGTTCTCGGATTCGTAAATCAAAAAAATAGCCTCGGAAGTCAAAGTTAACAGGCGATGTTGAGTCGTGATGATTGGCTCCCATGTTGGCGCGGACCAATAACAAAATATACCGCGTTTATGCGCCAACGAACAGAGACGATCAGCTTTGCTTGCCTGATCGTCTGGCGCGTTCCGCCGAGCCACCGAACGTATCTACATACATACAGTACATACATAAGTAGTAGTATAATCCGGCTTATTGATGGTACATGGTGCCACATGCTTGGAATCGCTTCCGGGCAAGACGAAGGTTCTAGTAGTGCTCACATTTTTTGAGTATGCACTTGGACACGGGCATCCGATACCACCAATCAGCTGCATCCTTGTCGCCTATCTGGCCCCCTTGGTGCTGATGCGCCCGCTGTCATCCGTACATTATATGAGCTGATGCTATGCAAGAGTGGCAAAAGGTCTATTCGACCCCAAGCACGCATCGCATGTCTCCACACATCCCAACGCGATCCCATCGCGATTGCGTACATATCGGTTTCTTGCTTTTTGTGGATACCTCTCCACAGCTGGTCGCTCTGCCATACGTAGATGGTTTAAGCCACACCATGCACCCCGTGACTGGACCTTCTGCTTCTGCACCCACCGTGCTAGTGGCCAAGGTACATACACTTCTGATGCCCCAGTGCACGTACGTCCATACATGCATAGATACATGCATCTTCCTCGCACATCATTCCCTTAAAGGACACATGTTGGTCTCCGCGCGGGCATCAGGCTTTCCGGTGCGCACCGAGCTATCATGTGCTCGATGCAGCAAGGAAACGATGTACACATTTGTGTGCTTGGTACGTGTGCCATATTAATTTGGATTTGACCGAGTTGACGCATACGTCGGAAGCCCAATTGGTGGCGCTTGCTTGGTCAGACGTGACTCAGGACATCTGACTCGAGCAGAGAGATGCTAGCCGATCCTCTGGCACTGTTTTCTTGATTCTTTTGCGCCAAAGGTAATGCGAAATACATGCAAAAGGTCGGATACTTTAACATCGATTAGTGGAGCCGTTGGTGAGTAATCCTTCGCGCCTTGGCTTTTCGGCATTACCACCAGACAACGCCCCACTTTGACCTAGCACAGCCACATACCCACTTGTCCGTTGATCTCCTTTTCCACCTTCCTTCACCGGGTCACCGTATACCGTACATGGAGAAATAAGCGCTCGCTTATGTACTCAATAGTACACCAAGAGATGGAAATCAAAAGAGCCACAATGGCAACGGACAAGAGTGGAGCGCCATGTATTGCGTATCGGACAACAGTCGCTAATGGCATTCGATCTATCCAGAGCAAGAGCCCCATGCCACTGGCTGCAGCTTCAGCCTCATCCCGTTAACTGGCTTACTCGTAATCGTACCACCTGCGACGACTTTTTCCAGCGGGTCCGCCAACTCCATCGCAAAGCTACCCACTAACGCCGCCACCAGTGTCCGCAGCTCAGCCCTCGCAAACCTCTCGCCAATACAACTTCTTGGTCCGTGCGAAAATGTCAGGAAACTAAAGTTGCTCTCTGCTCCACCCTTCATGGTCGCGCGTCCAGTTTCCTTATCGATCCAACGTTCAGGCATAAATTCCTCGGCATCTGGGCCCCACATTGCGGGGTTGCGATTTATCGCCCACGGAACAAGATAAAACATTGTTCCAGTCGGGATGTAGTGCCCCGCAACTGTTGTATCGTGGATAGCGACGCGCGTGGTTACAGGAACCGTGGGGAAGAGTCGAAGCACTTCGTTGCACACGCCGTTAAGGCAGGGCATGCTTTCCAAGAGGCCAGCGACGTCAAAGGCCGAGTTCAAGAGCACCTTTGGATCTGGTATGTATTCATGGATCTCTGACCGCAGATGGCTTTGAACGTCAGGGTGTCGGGATAAGAGGTACGACGACCATGTCAAAGTGGATGATGTCGTTTCGTGACTATGGCTGTTAGCTGTTGCCCGAAAGAAAGAGAAGCTCGCAGCTTGACTTACCCAACCGCTAACATCGTAAGAAGGTGGTCCACAAGATTGTCGTCCGAGAAATTATTACTTCTAATGATTAAGGATAGAATATCTCGGCTTCCCTGGCTGCCTGCGCTCTCGAGCTCCATTTTGGCCTTTTTTTCAGCCACAAACTCACTGCATAATTTTTTCAAGCGGCTCATCCCGACCTTTAGCTTTTTGTTAAGTCCCCATGGCAGCTTGTCAACCACCCAAGGCGACAATGAAATCTGGCAAATGAAATAGAGCACCTTCTCCTTCGTCGGTTCGAAAATCTCTTCGTACATCTTGATCAATTCATCATCGCTATGCTGTAAAGAATCAATGTCGCGACCCAGGCCTGCCAGGCCTATCATGTCCATGGTAACCTGGGTAGAATAATGCCCAATCTCTAGTACTCGATCCGGCTGCTCACTCAGATCCTTGTTCAGTGCACGGCAGAACTCGGTCGATTTTGCCCAAAACATGGGATACAGACCTTTGATATTCCGGAAGTGGAAGGCTGGTGTCATGCTCTTACGCAAGTGTCTATGCTCTTCGCCTTCAATTGTCAACAGGCTGTTCCCGATGAACTTCTTCATAAGTGCTCTCGTAAACGGTGGCCTCTCAAAGTCGTGGCTCCTGTGTACCAAGATGTCGGCCAGTGCGTCCGTCGACGTCACAATCAGATTTGCTGTATGCAAGATGCCTCGGGACAGTATAAGGCCGTTGTTGGGTATCTCATTGATGGTATCGAGAAATGCTTGCCCGGTCGGTTGACGCAGCCTCATCCAAGTATGGCCGATGAGCGGAATGAAGCCTTTGGCCTTGGGCAGGTTTCGAAGGGGCGATAGAAAGAAAGGATAAAGAATGAAATTGTAGAAAACCAATATGCTGTTGTTGAGCAGCGTGAAGAAGACAACATATGCCGTAAGAGTATAGACATTGTTGTCGTTGCTGCCGCTGCCTGGAAAAAGATATGGGGATAACTTGACTATGACTATAGCCTCCAGGACAGGGTACAAGACGCATTTTGCAAGGTTGAAGTGCATCATGGCGTAGTTACGAGGCGAGACGCCCTTTCGCAGGCAAAGAGTTAATCCAAAAAGACTTTCTTCAGATGCGCGCACCAGCCTAGGTATACCTGTTTCAATTCTACATCTTTGTTTCTGCATACACAGACCAACATAGCCGCCAAAGTCAGGATCAAGCAAAGGTCACGTTGAGCAGCTTGGCCATGCACGCTCCCCTACAGTCATGTTGGGAAACCGACAGTCTATACTTCAGTAGCTGGAGTCACGCCGCCTCCATTGGGCTCGTATAAGCGGAAAACCAAGATTGCACCTGATCGGATGCGGAAGCGGTTGCGGATCATGCTTTGAGCAATTGTACCAGCTGCACCAGACACATGGTTGCGACCATCGCAGCTCGAGTGTGATCAACACGGCGAATAGAGGGCAGCAGGGGATCGATTGACTCGCATACCGTTGCGTGTTTCGTTAGCCGTGGTACTCAGTGCAGATCAAGCATGAGATTGCCGAGATTGATATCAGCTGCGTGTCTGAAACCTAATCATCTCGTTTTCTCGCAAAGTCGGGCACAATGGAAGGTATCCGGCCATGCCATTCGCAATCGCTTTTTCGAGCTCCAAATTAGGTCCGGGTACACATGCTGTATGTAGAGTAGTTCTTGCCATGGCTTCGTATTCCAAGTCTTAAAAAAAACCAGCAAAGAATACTATCATGAGACCAATCGGTTATGCCATACCGACGATCATTCCTGGATGAATGGATGTGGCTTCCGCTCGACAGCGTTATCGAATACGCAAACCCACGTGTCTAGTAATCAACGCTTTGATCAGTGGACCCGACCAGACAATGCCACGAAGAGAAAAGGCAAACACACCGCACTCGCCATCGGACAAACCACAAAAGAAAAAAACACAAAAAACAAAAAACGGTTCAAAAGTAATCATCAACTCATCATCCCGTATCGATAGGATCCAAAAAAAAGAATACTCCCACGTCTACTCTAACCTCTCCTCCCCTCTCAAATCCCCCCCTTTCCACATCAACTCCACCTTCTCTTCCTCCCCTACTAACACATCCCCCATCCCCCTCCCATTCCCCCCACGCCCGCACACTCAAGCACAAATCCCCCCAACCAGCTGCTCCGCCTCTTGTGAAATCCCCGTCAACGCATGATCATCCCCCTCAAAAAGCCTCAACACCCTCTTCCCCCCAGTGCCATACGCCTCATACAGGCGTTCGGAGCAACCATGACCCAGCGTGCGATCCCCCGTGCCATGCAACAGTAAGACAGGCCGCGGCGCATGCGACGCGATACCCACGCACCCTACGACACGCGAATCCCGACTTGCGACAGTGAAGACGGGCGGCGCCGCCAAAGGACCAGCCGACGAGCACAAAACGACGACATGTGGTACGTATCCTGCAGCTCGCGCATGGCGGCCAGCACGCAGTGCGCAGTCCGCGCTGGGAAGCGGTAGTCGAGGCGCAGGGCTGCCATGGGCCGCGGCAGCGAGCCGAGTTTTTCTGCTAGAGAGAGAGGTACATGGCTGACGGGCCTACGATGCCGCCGCCCGCTCCGGACAGGAAGATGACACCGGTTGGCGTGGTGGGCGTGCTAGAGGCGCTGGGGGGGGCAGGTGCAGGAAGCCAGGCGCGGTGCCATTGGGTCCCGAGTCGACTTTTATGGAAACCGGCTTGACAATGGAGCATGTGGCTTTTGCGTTTGGCGCGTGCGAGAGCGAGAGGTAGTCGTCTAGACGGGCGGGTTTCCAGGTCGGGCTTGGGGGCGAAGAAGATGGTGATGATGACGATAACGAGGTCTTGGGTGGTGATGGCATAGTAGTGCTGGATCGCGTCAGTGTGTACATGTGGCTTAGGAATCGTTTCATGTGATATCCCCCTCCCCCCCCCAAAAAAAAGAACAAATATTTGATCATTTACAATCGCCCTTTGATTGAATATACAAAACCCGTGTTTCACCACTTGCTTCGTTACACAATTCGCCCCCCCCCCTCTCTCTCTCTCGAAATCATACTTTGCGTTCTGTGACATCACTTTTTTGGGGGAAAGGCTTCTGTGGACACTGTAGTATACATATTACTGATTTTCTCGCCGTCAGCAAACATAATCTTCTCTGACTTGAAAAAAAAAATTTCGACAACAAGTTTTCAATAAAATAGCGTGATATCAGAAGGGACACTAAGTCGCTCTGACGGCGAACGCAATATATGGTATCGAATTTCATACATGATCAAGATGAACAACGAGATTAATTGACCCCAAGAAAAAAAACTCCTTCATAGCCCAAATCCATTTTGTTTTGTTAGCTCTGTTCAACTGTTCACTTTGGCCCGCTCCACTTCCCATTCGGTGCCTTGCCTCTGAACCCACCTCCGCCTCTACCACGCGGAGACTTTGTCTTCTCAATCCTGCCCTTTGCTCCCCCTCTACCCTCTCCACCGCTGACGTTGCCTCCCCTCGATCTCTCCTGGCCCAATGCTCGCCTCTGATTCTTTTGCCCAGCACCGCCACTCTTTGTACCGCCTCTACCCATACCTGAGCCAGACTTTGCTTTGCGAATCTCTTGCCAGTCTGCCTCAGCGCCATCATCGTCCATGTCCATTTCGTCATCTTCATGAGTGCGCTTGTTGCTGAACTTGAGACGTCCCTTCTGGCCAGTTTGAGCGGCATCGCGTCCGCGGATGGCGTCAACGTAAGCGTTGATACCGGCTTCCAGTGACGTGTTTTGGTCATCAATATCCATGAGGGCATCCTCGTCATCAGCAGCTTGCTTCTTTGATTTTTTGCCCTTGGCTTCTGTCTCGTCATCTGATTCGCCAAGAATGAGTTTGCCGTCTTCATTCGTGCGCGCCTTGATCTTCGTTGGCTGCTTGCGTTGGCGCAGAGGCTTTGTTGAGGAAATGTTTCCGAGAGCGCGCTTGGACAGCAGATCGAGAGGCTCGTCCTCATCTTCAATGATGTAAGTGTTGCCGCCCTTTGCGCCGCCGCGTTGTTGTTTGCTTTGACTCTTAACAAACTCATCCTCAGAATCACCCTCGCTTTCGTCGCTTTCGCTGCCGTATACAGCTTGGTCGTACTCGCTCTCAAACTTGCCCTTTCGTTTCTCAGTTGGTTCTTCGCCATCCTCCGCGGCTTGCTGTTTCTTTTTCTTGCGCTGCTCACGTGTCTTACGGATGTTGGTGATTAGCTTGCGGTCCTCCATAGGAGTGGCGCGCTCAACTTCCTCTACACCAAACTTGCGAACCATGCGCTCTACAATATGCTTGACTTTGGCCTTGAAGTGAGCCTTGTGCTCGTGGCTCCAAACCATCAAATTCTTGAGAAGGGTGTTGAGGCGCGGGCGAACAAGCGACTCGGGCAATGATATAACCTCGACTTTGACGAAGCCAAGTACACTGCGGACAATTTCGCGATTGGGGTTCTGGAGGAAAATGTCCATGAGATCGCAGAGATTTGTGATTGTTTCCTTGGATATCTGGTCATGAAATTGGTAGAGTGTACGGGTGACGGCGGTGATGGATGCAGAAATCATGTGTGGTGTCGTCGCGGCCAGACCAGCTGACACCATTGTGAAGTATTCCTCGAGCGATGCCTCTACTGTGGGGGCATCGGCAGGCATGTTGGGTATCTTGGATTGCACGACCTGACCGCCCTGCGCCATCTTCTCGCCCATTGCGACAAGCAGGTTATAGGCAGCCTCTCGAGCTTTCTCGTTAGTCTCCTTAGCCGAGATAACAACCTCAGAAAGGATAGAAGGAATGAAGTGAAGATCGCTCTCTGGCAAAGACTCAAGAACTTGGAATAGTGCATTGAGTCGGTCTCTTCGTGCAGGAGCTGATGCCTTTTCTGCACTTCCAAGAAGCAGCTGCTGTAGCTCTGCATTGCGCTCTCTCAAAGCTGCTCGACCCATCTCAGATTCTGCAAGTCGAGGAATAAGCTTATATGCTTTCTTCTGCAGTTGCGGCTCGTTCTCCCGGTTGATCATGATCTCGGCCATACGGAAAAGCGAACGATAGCTGTCACGTGGGAGGTACAAGGCGATTGTGATGATTAGATCCATGAGGGTGTGGCTCATGGGCGGCATCTTGTTGGGGCCTATGTCCTGCTTTTGTTTGGCTGCTTGAGTCTGCGAGCCAGGTTCGGGTAGTGAGGCTTCAAGGTTGGTCGCAACTCGCTCAAAGGTTTCCATAAGCTCTCTCTCGGGCACGATGCTCAGATACGCGTTGATGGTTCTGAGGATAGTGCCGCGGTACTGCGGCAGAGTTTGGCTGTATACGTTGAATAAGACTGCAAGCATGTTGCTTGCGAAGTTGGCAAGATGGTCCAAGTTCTTCTGTGCGTCAGCTTTAGAGATACGGGCTTGCGCAAGCAGGTCGTCTTCGGATTCCAGTTCCACAATGGCCTTGTTGCTGTCTACCAGGTTCTGTAGAGCTCGGCAGATGTCCGTTCGTAGATCAGCTTGGCCATAAAGAAGATTTGCCAGCATTTCACAAAAGGTCTGATCGAAAGCCTCGACCAAATCCAATGGCAAATCGCAGTAGCCAGGCAAGATTGACCAGATTTGTTGTACGACTGTTTCAAAGACCTTGATTTCCATCGTCTTTTCCTTCTCACCGTGATCTATGACCTTTTGGTAGAGCTCTTCACTCAACGGAACCATTTCCTTTCTGAAGTGGGAAAGCTTGGCGTTGTGCACAGAATCGCGAAGGAGTGGAAGCATCCAGACTCGTCCAGTCTGTCCTGGTGGCGGCCGGGGCAAGTTCAGGGGGAGTATCTCAAGGACAACGTCAGGCCCCATTGCGGTAATTGCCTTTGAAATAACTGCATCCGCTTCTTTTTTACCCGCAAAGCTGTCATTGCCTCTGAGATCTCCAACAACCCGTAGCACAGGCTTGAGGATAGGATCTGAGCGCCATCTAAGAGTCTCGAACATCGCGGCGAAGACATTGAACACTTCCATCCAGGCAGCTTGATACTTGACGCTCAAGAGATCTTGGGCAACCTTAGCAACCTTTTCCAATGTTTTCTCATCAAATACAGAGGGTTCGAGGATGACGCTGTCGGGGATGAGGTTTACGATAAACGAGATTAAACACTCAGAGGCAGAGATACGGATGTTGTGTGAAGAGGATGTGAGGAACTCGGCAATGGTAGTGAATAACTCGGGCAATTTCATAAAGGTCTCTTCAGGCTCAATCTGAGCAGAGACTTCATAGCCGCGTGACACGACTGCTATCCAGGGCGGAAGCAGCTGTGAGTCGTTTTTGGAGGGCTGTAGCTCAGAGATGACTTCGAGCAGCCTGGGAAGCTTAGCAGACGCAAGCTCATTGGCCATGCCTGCAAAAATGACCTCGAAAATGTCAAAAGCAGCCATGGTCAAGAACTCGTTGCTCGACTTGGAGATATTGAGCAGCAGCTCGCACAACACGTCAATCTTGGTGCTTGGCCAGCCGCCAGACGACATTGCAATCGTCTTGATGAGCTGCAGCGCATGAATCAGGTCGGGGTCCTTGTTTTCTGCGTCCCTCTTGCCCTTGTGCTTGCGCGCCTTGGCTGCCGCCTCTGCCGCTATGTCTTTGAGCATTTTTTGTGCCGTCTCAGCGCACATGTCTGCTGCAGGATGGTCTAGCGCAGGGCTCGGTGGCGGGTTCGCAAGCACCTTTTTGAGTGCTTCCTGTGCCCTCTTCCTCACTTTGGGTCTGTGGTCGACTGATATCTGCAGTAGTCCCGCGACAGCTCTGCGCGGGCTGATGGTCGTCTGCGGCAGCTCCCAAGCGCGCGCATCCTGCACGAGCAGAAGCGACTCGAGACATCCTATCGATGACCTGATCAGTGGCGCATCGGCGTCTTGTGCGGTGAGGGCGGGCGCGAGGTTGGTGAGGATGTCGGTGAACTTGGATCGCAGCAGCGGGGCGGGTACATGGGGGGTGACGAGATCGAGCAGGTAGATGGTCGATGTGGCCGTGTCCTTGTTAGTAATTCCCTGGGCTGTGATTTGACGGGCCAATAGCGACAGCAAGGCTGCGAAGTATGCTGTCGGCGTGAATTCTGAGTTTTGCTGGCGGAGGGTATCTTCGATGGCTGAGAGCAAGACATGGGTCTGCAAAGGTCAGCGGCGGCGCTCGCAACAAAGGCGAAAAAGACAAGACGAAAGGAAATCCTACCTGCTGCTGGCCTTGAAGCTTCGGGTTGTCCCGGATCTTGGACAGTCTCTCGTCGAGCGACATTGCGGCCAACTTCCGCGTGGGTGTAGACTGTTGCGCGCGACAAGTGCTCAATTTTTGGGCCTCTCGAACTTTTTTGACCTGGCAGGGATCCTGGCTGTACACTATCGATAGCTGCGCACCGCCGCCACCAGCCCCACCAACTCCACCATTCACAGCTCACACCTTGCACACAGCCACATCCAATCCATTGTAACCATTGCAATTGCAGTATTTTCATATGTATCGTGCGCTATGTATCGAAGCTGACATAGGAAGGGTATAAACAAAAACATCGCCAATGTGTTGTACAGGATTTGCGTACCGCCGCCGCCGCCCAAAAAAAAGCCCAGGGCCAGATGTGCACACATAGTGCGCCCCTCCGGCCCACACCCATATTCCCTCCCCTTTATAACCCTACTATTGTAATGTATACAAGCATTAAGCAACTCGTAAGCTGCCGCGAAAGCAAACAAAATAAATCTTGTAACACAAAGAAAAAAAAAAGATTACTCCTCCATCAGGGTATCATCGACACGCCCCCGCACACTACTCTTGCTACTCTTCTTCGAAATGTTCATGAAGCTGAGTCTTTTCTTCACACTGCCTGATCG